ACTGGGATATTTTCCCTTTAGAGACTTGGAACGACCTTAGAAAACTGCTTTTCCTGCTCTGTAGAGTAGATTGCCCCCATCCCCTCTATTTTTGCCAACGTATATTAAAGGACATTTGGCATCACTTTTCCAAAACAGTAACTGGTTGGTCTAGAAAGATTGGAGTCCATCCCTGAAGGAAGGAAAGTGATTCACACCTGAGTTGGGGGAATTTGGGGGACACAAAAGGCAGGGATTGGTTCCCTTGGGGCCACAAGGCAATGGGAAGAGAAAGGGCCCCCACACCTGAAACAAAGCATATATTTCACCCTCCTCCTTGCCATCAGTGGTGAAGCATGATCAGGACTCCTGGTGATGCCATGCTAACATCCCTATCTTCTCCCATGTCCCCACCACCTGTGATCATGTGAAGGACTGCACAGCTCCAACTATGGGCTCCAGCAAAAACACAAGGAGAGGGTGTGTATCCCATTGTTCCCATATTCCCATCACAGCAGTGAAAACACTGTCTGTCTCTTGTTATAAAATAATGGGTGCCGATTGCAAAACAGAGCAACGAACAGAAGTCTCATTCACACGCACAAAGTCCCTTGAGACAGCAGAAAGAGCAACTTTCCCAGGTCTCAGACATCTGATGTATCCGTAGAAGTCCCAGAGCCAGGGAGATGACCTACCCCAAAAGCACTGCAAATTATAATACTACTAAATAGCACCTTAGTTCCAGCTTTGCCTTATTTCAAACCGTGATATATACCTTGTCACACACCCTAACACACATGAGCTGTCATGGAACAGGATCAAAGAGAAAGTCCACACCCAAGAAATGCCATGCAGGATTATTTTCCTGCCTTCACCTACAGGAACTTACTATTTTCAAGCTGAGAAAGGGGAAATTTAGGTTAGATGCTAGGAAGAAATGCTTTTCTGTGAGGGTGCTAAGGCATTGGAACAGGTTGTCCAGAGAAGCTGTGGATGCTCCATCCCTGGAAGTGTTCAAGGCCAGGTTGGAAGGGGCTCTGACCAACCTGGTCTAGTGGGAGGTGTCCCTCCCCACAGCAGGCATGCTGGAACTAGATGATTTTTCGGGTCTCTTCCAACCAAAACTATTCTGTGGCTAAGAACCTTCCTTGCGTGCAGGTTTTCTGGAAACACAATTCCCAGACATGGCTGAAGGATGTATCCATGGCTCAGGCCAACCAACCAAAAGCAGCCTGCAGTTTCCCCAGTACTGTAACAATTAACAATAGAGATGGGCCAACTTGACTTTTCAGGGCATGTTTTCAATCAAAATATGTTTGCTATCACAGTAGGCTGCCCCCTCACTTCACACCTGCTGAACCTGTGATGCTCTGTCTTTACTGCTGTTGTTACCAAAGCTAATTAAAACTAGCCCTGGGTTTGCCTCTACATGCCGCAGTCATTTTACTGTGTAGGCAAGCCCCGAGGTCCCAAGCCTCTTAGAATTCTGAATGAAGCCCTCTGTCTCAGAAGCAATCTGAGAGCTGCTATGACCATTTTGGGGCATGCAGCAGTTCATTCTCACTGGAACACAGTTGACAATTAAATGAGCCAGTGCATTCTGTAGACCTGCAGATGCTCAAGTGGAGTTCTGAACAAAAAACCAAAGGGAAGGACTACCAGAAATTAGGATACTGCAGTCTGTGAAAGCCAATTTACAGAGATTTACAAAGGGAACTTTACATTAAATTTCCACACACAGAGCTTTGCTGTTCAAGTACACACTTGGCATTTGGCATGGTTCTTGCCATTTGCCATAAATTTTCTGATCTGTTTGCATCCACTTTTAGAATAGCTCAGGCCATATTGTTTGACCCAGATTGTTACTGCTAAGCACCAAACCACTTGAATTAAGAATTTCTACTGGAAACTTGAAGAGGTTTAGAAGTATGAAAGAAAAATGCAGATGCAGACTTTCATAAAGCTGCTTAGCTGGAAAGAATTGCCAGAAAGTATCTTTGTGCTAATGTCAGCCAATTTTTCTGAATTAATTTTGAAACAATTCATCATTCATCCTCCTCACCTCCTTCCAATTTACAGCAGTCTCTGTAAACATAGCCAGGACACTGCAAGCAGATGCTAGAACACTTTCCTTTTAAGAAGGACGATGGCATAACTTCATACCTCTATAAACTTCACTATATTTGGTAAAGATTTCATAAAGGTTTGCATTCCATGACCACTACAGGAACAGTGATGGTCATTTCTGTATTCCTTGAGGAGCTAAGAAAATTAACCCACCACCCAAAAAATATATACAAGGCAAGTATCTTAAGAGTCAGCTCATACCTCTCTCTTCTTTTTAAATTATTAAATAGCAGAAGCAACCAAGCAGATATAACACTTCAGTGCTCCAGTGACTTTAGTAACAGTTGCACTGACTTAATTGGCACCTCACCTTGTTTCTGAATATGACCAAAAACAGATTTTGTTTCCTAAGAATGTGGCACACAAAGCACCAAAGAATTAACAGCCTTATACCAATCTCAAGTGGTCAGTTTCAGTTTTGTAAAACTTAACACAGGCACCATACAGAAATTAAGAGCATTAAAATGTTAAAATGAACAGCTAGTGGTAGTCAGGTGGAGATTACGCTTTTTCCTCATTGAAGATAAAAACAAAAAACCACTACTGAATTAATTTAGGCTCATGAAGGATGAACTCAAACATCACCACAAAAGTAAATGCTCTTGAAAAGGGCATGACAAATCACTTCTAGTACAAATGTACTGGGCAAGCCCCTTTTAACAGACAGGTTGTGCTAGTAAATGCAGGTAAATTTTTAAGCATATGCAGGACAAACCTCAAAAATTTCAGCCAGTTTAACAAGACTCACCAGACAAAACCATTATATTCTGAAACACATTTACAAGACAACTTTTCCAGTTGAAGGTGTTCAACCACAAGATGCTGGTGAGTAACAAGTCTCATGTCTGTACATGCAGTGTTTTAAGAATCCAATTTTCTTTGTTCTTCTGGAAAAAGAAGTATCACAAACTTGTGATAGCAGAAAATTTCACAAAAAAAATGTTAAGAGAGAACCTCAAAGAGACCAAAAATTTTCTTCAAAATGAGGCCAAATTGCAAGACATTGCTAATTCTGAATACTTTTATCATGACAATAAGAGAGAAACTAGAACTCTATTTAGTTGTTTTATAAAAGCCAAAGCAGCTTTGGCTTTTATAAAAAGCAGCTTTGGGATTTGTCACTTGTTTTGGTAAGCAGATGACAAGACCAATACAATGTGTTTAATAAGTGGAGCTTCAAGTATATAGAGTATGTGTACAGGATTTTTTTTTTTTTAATGCAACCAGTTAAGTCATGGCCCATCAGGTACAAGCAAACTTTACATTTATGACAGAATAAAATGTTATGAGAAATAAAGCAAATAATCAAATTCTGACATAGCAGACTCTGGAGAAGAAATTCTACCCAGGTTTTAAACACTGTTGAGCCAAAGAACTTTCTCAGACTGAAACATCTTTTCATATGAAAGAAATTTGAACATTTAGTATTGACATGGAAAAAAACATGCCCAAAAGCTTCTATAACTCAGATGGAGATGCTTTTGAGGATGAAAACTGTTTTCTATTTCATTCCACCCTTAAACAGAAGCACTGAGTGGGAAAAATTCTGGAACTGATTTAAGCTTGGGTCAGTAGCTAAAGACAATTTACAATCTCCCAGAATAGGGCTTTCTCAGCAGTAGTGTGAACGACACACCTGAATTTCACCAGTACAATTAATCCAAGACTGGCAGTAGGAAAACCAGCAGCAGGCAAAAGGGAAAACCACTAAGAGGTCCTGTTCACCTTTTAACACCTGGGAGTCACTCAAATGCACTCTTAAGTGTTCAAACTATTTTCTGGCATTTCAACAGTTTCTTCAAGCTTTACAATTGCTAATGAGTGCTGAGATACCTCACTGGATTCTTCATTCATTCTACTTGCTTCAGAGACAGCAATTGTATCAGAGTGATTAGAAATAAACCACTGTCAGCCTTCCAGCTTTTCTAACTATCATGACAAACAGCTATAGTTATGCTGACTCTTTGGAACAGAAAGAAATATCTAGCCTTCCCCACATCTTACCCTCTACAAAAACTATCTACTTGCATAATGAGTATTTAAGGACACAACAGGTAGAAGCAAACTCGCAAGGTGAGTGAATCATAAAAAAGAATTAAGCTGGCATTTTATTACATTGAGATTTCTTATTGATTGACAGCAATCATTAACTGAAGAGTAACAGGCTGGTAAATTTTCAACACAGAAATAATTCACTTAAAACAAGGAAAGTACAAAAATAATTAGCACATTTACATTAATTTATCCAATGCCACCTCTTCATGAACGGAAGAGAGCAAAGACCATAGTATACAGAAATATAACAGTTTAAATCTTCTCACAGGTATTTCAAACAGAAAATAGGACGTTTACTTAGACTGTGTTCCCTTAAAAGGTTGTTCCTGCCTCAGGTAAGAGTGAGGCAATGAAGTCGTCAAACTTAAAGCCATCAAATCCAAATACTCTACCATTACTGAAAAAACAAAACACATTTATAAAAATAAAGCTGGCAAACTAACTGTACAGCCTGTGGTCCTGATTCTGACATTTATAATAAACTGAACAGAGACAAAATTATGGCCTATAAAGTAAGACCAGCCACAGGCAAGAGTTAGGCCATATGTTCAACAACCCTGGGATCTAAGCTTCTCTCTATAACAAGATTAGCCAGGCAAATGTGAGATAATTAGAGTTTGCTATTTTTATCTGTTGCAAAGACCACATGAAAAAGTAAATAAAGACAATGACATTTTGTGACAAAAAAAATAAATACAAGAACCAATTTAAGAAAAAAACCTAAACAACCAGGAGCCCCAAAATACCTAGTAAGACCAGCCTACTAATTAGGCAACAATTTTAAACAGCTAAATTGGAGAGACTTAGTCATCACCCCCTAGAAACAAATATGAAAAGGCTTAAAAAATTATTTTTATCAAACATAACACATTGCTGTGAATATGAATAAACTCCAGCTGTTCATCAGTATGACAGAGGACATCAGATTATTAATCTAACAGTTACAGTTGAAGTGTTTAAAAGTGGCACTTCTGAACCCCTGTAAATAGATTAACAAGCTTCCATTTTTGTGAGCAGTTCTGATGGCATGATGTTAATGTACTCAAGTGTCTTCATTTACATTTCCTCGAGGCTTCTTTTGATAGCTTCTTGCAGTTCTGCATCTTGCAGTTCGGCCTCTTGCAGTTCTGCATAAATAAAAAAAGAATGTAATCTCAGACTGAAATTGGTAACTAGCCATAAATACAGCTACCTTAATATTACTACATAAAGCATGAACTTAGTTCTGTGGGCAATGCCAGTTGACTGCAAAGTCCTTAAGAAACATGAAAATATTTTCTCTCCTTCTGTTTTATACTATCTTTTCAACACTACAAAATATGGAAAACACCTCCACAACCTTTCACTGTATTAACCAGGAGCAGGCCAATGATTAGTTGAAGACCATAATGCAGCTATGTATTTACTGCTCAAAATAATATGAAGATTAGAACCCATACGTATGCACCAAGAAAACGAAATATTAAACACGCAGACATAACAAGGCAAGAGGTTTCAGTATTTTCTTTCCAGTTTCTTATCCAGAGATATGCCCATACCTACCGACTCAGCACCAGTGTTGTCACTCTTACTAAGTAGGCCAGACAAGTAGATAAAAAGTCATTATCAGCAATAAGAATAGTCTAGATCAGGGCTGTAGCAGTTTTGTTGGTGGGGAGGAAAATCACATTGCACTCATCTGACTTCTTAACCATCTCAAACAACTTTCATAATACTCAAAAAAGAAACTCTATGCCTTACATTCAGATTGTTTTGGGCACTAACTGCTAGGTGTTAGTGCCCAAAAGTTGGTTTAGTAGTTAGTTAGTTCAAATACCATAATGTTGACAAGGTTTGTATATACAGCAAATATTAATATCAATATTATAATTGGAAAAATTAAAGCAGCTTTCAGACACACTGTCATTCATGAATTATTTATCTTCTGCTTTAGGAGGACATAAGCACATCCTATTATAAAGAAAGATCTGTCTGTTCTTATGAAAAAATAAACAGAATTTTAGAACTTTAATAATTGTTGGGCTGTTTTATGCAAGGCTGAAAACTGGAACGGAGATCATATCACTGACGGCTCTCTCATGAATCTGGACTTTCCTGTAATATCCAGAACTACTGATAAAAGAGAGAAGCTTAAAGAAAAATATTACATGGTCACAGAAACAAACAAAGACAGAAAACCATTTGCAGACAACTGCTTGCATTAAAGTATGTTATTTAGCTACTAAGTCTGTGCAAAAATGCAGAATAAGGTCCAAGCTGTGACTCATCTGGAGTCAGATGCCTCTGCACTGCAGCACCAGAAGTGGGACCTCCTGAATGCACCACTCCACTGCTATCCCAGTACTAGGCAGGCCTGAATGCACCAAACTTTCAGTTGCAGGAGATGAATGCTGGACATTTAACAACAGTATTTAGTAACAGCTGATAAACTTAAAAATTAATAAATTCTGGGAACATAAGATTCAGTATTCAGTTTTATCAGTGAGCTTGTACAACTTTTTTTGGTTTTTTAGTTTCTTGTATTACCATCGGGTGGAGGGGCAGAATCAAGTCTGTCAACAGTAAATTATTTTCAAAGTACACTGTGGTCAGTCACCAAAAATGCATGACTACATCGAACACCACCAGTAAGCTCAACAGCAAAAGGATGAAAACAATTTCAAATAACATAAGATAGGAACAGACAGATAATGAACATAGAGATGTGATGCTGATTCAACCTTGTGCATAACTACAGCTCTTTTAGGAGACCAGAGTACTTTACTGTGAAATGGTATCTAAGATTGAATTATTTATCAGAAGTTCAACTATTTAGTCAATAATTCTGCTGAGACAACACAGTCATATTAAACTGGTACAAAGTGAACTCAGTCAAGTCTTTAATTGATTGGTACCCTGTGGTGACAAATGAAATAGATTTTTAGTCTGCCAGCATACTTTTCAGGTTAGGAATTTTTTTTATTTATAACTCATTACAGCATTCTTCACTACTCAAGACCGCCCATCATAGTTTACAGAGTATTCCTAAGAGGTCACTTGCTGCAAAACTGATTTTAAGTTTAGTTTCTCTATCTTCCTTAATTAATAGTGCTCTTGAACACAGAAAAGTAAAAATTCACAGACCTTCCTGTTTGTTTACTTCTTCTAAGCTCCGCTTCACTGTTTCTTTCATATCTTCATCCTCTTCACTATCTGAACCTTAAATGCACAAATGAAATAAATTACACATTGCTTGTAATAAAGATATTAAAAACCACTCTTGCATTTCTCTTACTATAACACAAACTAATTTGAAGATTAAATTTGTTATGATCTAAAACAATCAAGATAAAAATTCATTCCAGTGGTAGTTGAAGACAGCAACTCAAGAGACAGTTATTTTTCAGCTACCTTCTTCCCATAATCTAGAGGCAGATTGCTTCAATTTTTAATTATGTTAAAGCAGTAACATGAAATAATAGCTGCAGAAGCTACTGTATCTACTGCATTTGTGGGTTTTTTTGGGTAATATTCAGTTATTAAAAAATGACTCACTTTTTATAAATTACTCACTTTCTATAAAATGCATCAAGGATTTAACTATGGGAAGAAGTGTCTTTGTGTGTCTCTGCCTACACACAACAGCAGCTGTATTTTATTGCCCAAATACTGCATTTGAACAATGGGGAGCTAAAATTCAAGAGCAGTGCAATTCATGAGATGTTGCTGTTCAAGTCTTATATAAGCAGGAAGTTGATAGACTTGGTTTAATCTGTTAATTCATCACAACCCAGCCAAAACTGCACCGTCTTTACCTTTCTTAATAACTCTCTTCACAAGGCTGGTTTCCAGCTCCAGAAGGATGGCTTTATTTTGAAGTGTCTGGTAAGGATTTGTGTACCTAAAGTGGTGTGGGGTTTGGCTGGTTGGTTGGTTGGTTTAGTTGTTTGTTGGTTGATTTTTTTCCCCATTAAATAGAGAAGCAGTAAAGTACAGGTTAAAAACCAAGCCAATGAGTCATGTTAGGCATTCATTCTCCTCCTGCTACAGGCTATTGCTATTTTGGGAGATGGTCTCTGCAATGAGGTTAGCAATCAACAAAATCTCCTACAGTCATACCAAGAGAAGCACTCCCCTTAAAGTCATCACATTCATTAACACATCAATGTACTTCTGATTACATTAACCAGCAAAGAACTTTACGATATGGCCATCTCCTTTACTGACTGTGTGACTTCTGGCATTTTGAATTACCCAACTTAGCTATTCAAATTGTTTTCAAACCTCTTGACACACAACCTGTTTGAGCAGAACCTTGCTGACTTTCCCAGTTCCAGGAATAAGAATTTCAACAGCTGGTGTTAAACAGTGATCAGAAGCCCAAAAAGATGCCAGAAATAGATAGATATACACTGCAGTTAAAATGGTATTTCTCCACTTACTTGGCAGACTGACTGTGAACTCTTTTTGGAGCTACCTACTATTTCTGAGCAGAAGAGATACTAATTTTTACATCATTTTCCAAAGCAAAGCAAAGAAAAATCCACACCCACTCCTCCCCCAAAAGCAGTCACTGCAATTACTAATGAAAGGAAGGAAAAAGTGCAAAGGAAAGGCTTTTCCCAAGTGGCTTCTCCCTAATTAACTATCCTTTTAATCTTCCAGCCTGGAAGACATGTCAGACTGCCCTAAAAAGTTTTATAACTCTCAGAGGTGGAACAGTTGAAGCAATCACTCCCTAACTCAATTCTTGGTGTAAGTACACATGACACAAAAACACTTCCAGGGATGGGGCATCCACAGCTTTTCTGAGCAACTGGTCAAGTGCCTCACTACCCTCTGAGTAAAGAATTTCCTCCCACCATCTAATCCAAATCTTCCTTCTTTTAGTACAAAACCATTGCCCTTTGTCTTGCCACTATCTGCCCACATAAAAAGGCCCTATTTTTTAAAAGCCCCCTTTAAATACTGGAAGGCCACAATGAGGTCTCCTCAAGGCCTTCTCTTCTCCAAGCTGAACAACCACACTCTCAGCCTTTCTTTCCAGCTCTCTGATCATCTTTGTAGCCCCCTCTGAACCCACTTGAACAGGTCCATGTCTTTCTTGTGCTGAGGACCCCAGAACAGAACACAGCACTACTGGTGGGGTTTCATGAGGGCAGAGTAGAGGGGCAGAATACTCTCCCCTGACCTGCTGGCAACTCCTCTTTTGAAGCAGCCCACGATGCAGTTGGCCTTCTGGGCTGTGACTGTACACTTTGGCCCATGTCCAGCTTTTCATCCATGAGAACCCCAAAGTCCTTCTCCACTGCTCTGTTCTGCATGCAGTCCTTCCCCCAGGCTGTACTCACGTCTGGAATTACGTTGACCCAGGTGCAGCACCTTGCACACGGCCTTGTTGAACTTCATGACATTCTCATGGGCCCACTTCTCAAGTTTGTCCGGGTCCTCCTGAGTGACATCCCATCCTTTAGGTGTGTCAACTGCACTGCTCAGCTTCATATCATCTGTGAAGCTGCTGAGGGTGCCCTCCCTTCCACTGTCCATGTCACTCATGAAGAGATTGAAGAGCACCAGTCCCAAGACACTTGTCACCAGCCTCCATTTTGACACAGAGCCACTGGCCACACCTCTCTGGCTATGTCCATCCAGTTATGTCCATACTCCTTATCCACTGTCCATCCACCAAATCCACATCTCTCCAACCTGGAGATAAGGATGTCATGCGGGATGGTGTCAAGGACTTACAGAAATCCAGGCAGATGACATCACAGTCTTCCCTTGTCAATCATTACAGTTGCTCTGTCCATAAAAGGCCACCAGATGGGTCAGGCAACGTCATAGAATGGTGGAAACTGAAGTGACCTCTGGAAGTCATATTGTCCAACCTCCCAACTCAGCTAGAATCATCTACTGCCCAGGACTATGTCCAGATAGCTTTTGAGTATTAGTGAAAAGACAATGTAGTGGGGAGCTCCCATCTTGTTAGATATGACCTTACCTATTAAAGTGAAAAGATCACCTTCCTCAGCCTGCTGGCAACAATCTTCCTAATGCAGCCCAGACTACTGTTGGACCTCCTAGCCACCAGAGCACACATTAGCTCATGGTCAACTTGGTGTCCACCAGGTCCTTCCCTACAAAGCCATTTCCCAGCTAGCTGACTCCTGGTCAGCATATATTGCTGCTTGTGGCTGTTTCACCCCAGATGCAGAACTCTGCACTTCCCTTTGTTGAACTTCATGAGGTTCACTGTCAGCTCACTTGTGCCCTGTCAAGGTTCCTCTGGATGGCAGCACAGTTCCTGTGGTGTATGAACTGCCACTCCCAGTTTTGTGTCATCAACACACTTGCTGTAGGTATACTCTGCCCCATCATCTAAGTCATTAACAGACATTAAACAGGATCAGTCCCAGTACTGGGACACAGTTGGTTCCTGACCCCCATCTGAACTTCATGCCACTGATCACCATGTTCCAGGTCTGCCTGTACAGCCAGTTTTTTCACCACCTCAGTTTTCTCATGCAGGCCACACTTTGTCAGCACATACTCCTCATACTATTGGCATCTTCTAATGAAGAGTGTTTAATTTTTAGGTATCAGGCATGTCCTGCCCCTCTTCTTAAAATGCTTAGCACATGGTTTAGCTCCCAACTCATTTGGTGTTAGAGAAAAATTAGCTGCCCAGTTGCAGAGGCAAGAGATTTTAAGATCTCTTGCACTATTCTCTAGTACATTTTGTCAAATATACATCAGCTAAGAACCTCTGTCTATACCTGAAAAGAAACCCTACTGCTGACTTTTGTCCTCACGTACTGACATACTCCTACTCAAAGAATAAGAAAACAGGAAAGCAAACTCTGGATGAATATAGAGCTCAGAGTGATTTTCTGACATTTCATGTGTCTCTCAGAAACCTGTTCTGCACAGAGACTGGTAACTTCCACAGAATCTAAGTGCCACCACTGTCCTGCCATCAAAGCACCACAGCTTGAATTTGGATTAGCTGTCCACACAGCTCAGGGTAACATTGCCCCACTATATCTATTATGATATATATGATCTATATATGATCTATTACAACCTCCCAGTTACCATCAACCCTTTCATAATTTCTGCTAGGTTTACCACCAGAGACTCCATTTCCCTTCCCCAGCCTTCCTCCTGCTCCCTTTACCACACAACACACCTCTTGTCTACTGTATAGTCTCACACCCCACCTCCACTTCTCTCCTAAAATACTCCTTTCTCTTAGTCTTTTCAGTAAGTCCCAATCTCACTTGCCTCTTTCCCATTCCAATGCACAGTGACATTATCACACTATCTCTACAGCCACTGACCCTTCTCCTTTTAAAGCTACTGTCTGGAGTTTTAGTGCTACCCTATGGATACCATTTGTTAACTCATTCATGAACCCAGGAATTACTTAGCCAAAATCTTTAGATCAGTACCCCACCCTTACCTTTGTTAGCAATCACATTCGATATGTGTGGCCATGCTGCCTTTAAAATACTGCTTCCTTGGCTTCTAAAATATTTTCTTTTACGCCTTTTTTCATATGCTCCTGGAGGATCCTTCCCAAATACTCTTCCCCAATACTTATTCCTCCTCTAATCTCTGTTCATATAAAAGTAATATAATCTGTAAATGCAAGTACACCTATGCCCTGCTGTGGGTTACTACCATACAAGACCTCTCTTCCTCCATGCAAAGCAAGCTTCACTCTATGTATCTCTGCCTACAGCTGCTCATTCAAGTGTAGGAGAAATGAAAATAAAGCTCTCAAGCTGCCACTCTCCTCCAATTGCATTTCTTGGATACTGTGGCCAATATAATGATGGTGACTCAGACTTTCATCTAACCTTTATTTTAGACTCCTCTCTCAAATTCAAAGCTAGATTTAAGCTAAATGTCAAATTTTTTTTTTGTATGATCTGAGTAGTGAGGTCTTCCCAGTTCATCTACTGGCCTACAATTATTGTTCAGGCTCATTATCTTAGGTCTCAGTACATTGCTTTCTCCCTAGGGCATATACATACAAGAGATGCCACTGACATACCAAACCCAAGAGTAACTTCCTGCCGTAGCTAAACACAAGGTTACAACTGCAGGGTGATTTTCTTATCACTCTACTGCAAGAACCTGTGGCTGCTACAATAAAAGAATATATTACCACAGAAACTATAATTCATTCATGGTGCATCACTCTGCAGATGCTCGTGCCCTTCACATTCAGTTTCACATTCAGGGAAGTGGAGGCTGGAGGTTGTGACCTAACTTTAGTCATTTGCAATCTGTGTTAACTAAAGGTTTGATGTTGTAGTCACACCGGAACTCAAACAAGACCATACACAGACCTTCACCTATAAAATCTTCACCATGGAGAAAGTAAAGCAACTATTCTCAATGTTGTCTACAAATATGTTCTTCTGTCCTCTCAAATTCTTTTGTTGGCTGTATGTAAAACAAAAGCTTTTGGGCATAGTGGGAGATAGGAAGTTTAGGACCATTCATTAAAATGAACTGAAATCCTGCCCTTCCAAACATAAAACCTCTCATGGAAGCCGCATTTGGTAGTATTTAAACACACCAGGCAAGAGTAGCAGATTGAAAATGCAGGCTGGCAACTCCATTTGAGCACAGTGAAATGTACTTTATGGGTCAGAGAAAGAGGTACAGTGGCTATCTGGCAGACAAAACTACATTCAGCACACCACCAATTTTGACAGGCTCATGAGACAGACTGGCTCTTCAAAAGAAAGGACAAGAAATACTTCCAAAAATTTGCTCTTATAATTTAAAAGAGTCTGTTTTACATAAGAGCTTGGTCACTGAAGGATCTCATTTGAACATAACCAGAAGAAATAGTCAAGCTAAGGGCATCAACTTACACAAAGATAGCCTGTTAACCAAAAACTTGGGGTCTTCCTGTCAGTGTTCAGATGGATATGATGACCCCAACCTACCATCACAGCTTTGCCGTCAACATCGTCCAGCACTCATTAAAAGTGTACTTTCAACACACAGGGTATCATCAAGACATAATGGAATATTGATATTTTTCTGCAAGCTGCAATTTTTTTTGTTATAAAGGAAAACATTGAAAACTCTCTGCCCTTCCCAAACCACTGGGATAACATGCATGAAGCTCTTGTCATGTGTTGTGGCTTCAGCATAAAAGCAAAAACCTTCTTCATTTATGAACTCAGACTTAGCAGCAGCAGAGAAAGAAGAGAAAGAATGTTTCCTACTGTTTCCATATCTCAAAGGATGTTCAAGAATCTCCTCAGCCAAGGGTTTCCTATAGTTACATACAGTTGGTATTGTATTGCAACATATGCAGAAAATTTTATTTTAAAATTAATGCAGCACTACAGCTCCCTACAGCAGTTGTGCTGGCAAAACAGTTCACAAGATGCACCTGTCAGATTGCCACATCCAAACACAACCCAGGTGCTCACAGAAGCTGATGATAGCTCTGTGAAGGTGATTTAGGGAAACAGCTTTTTCATTTTGCAGCTCATCCAATACCAACTACAGTTTGATATTTTTCAACATGATTCTTGGTCTTGTTTCTCACTTATTTCTCTCTTCAGAATAATAGCCATAGGCTTGAGAAAGTCACAAAGCAAGCAATTCTTGTTTGCATTTCCTTATACTCAGCTGCTTTTCTGTAACACATCAACAAGTTATACCAGCCTATGATAACACTGCATGACTACATCTCAAGCCTCCAATACTGGTTTTGCCACATTAAGACTTGCAAATGATGGCTGATGCTGCTGAGCCACACAGTATGTATGTGGTACATGGTGGCTTTATATTTTTAAAGAAAAACTTTATAAACTCTTGTAACAACATCAACCCACAATGCAGCAAATATAGGCTTATTACTAATGGTGAGTTTTCTAATATTCTGTTTTAATACAGGATGGAGAGCCAAAGGCAGCTCTTGCTGTCTGGGTCCCCCCCTTGCTGACACTGACTAACAAAGGGGACAATTCTGTTCCTTACAAGTTTGCTAAGGAATGCCAACAGCCAAAGGAATCATGTCGTTCTATAAATTTCCTGTTAAAGGATTTTTTTTTTTAATGACATTTTTAATTAATGTGTAATTTAAGTGGAATGTGTAATGAGCAGCCAGCCAGCAGGTAAAGGTTTGCAGCCTCCAGGTAGGGCCAATTACCATAACAGTGAATATTAATGTAGTAAAAGACATTGAAAGAAGTGTTAAATTAAGAAACTTCTAATGCCTGAGGTGCCCAGAAAACTTTTCTGTATCAAAAGCACATAAATCAATTCCAGCTCACCACTGTTTGTTTTTTTTAAACTATTTACTTATTTTTTTTCCCTTTAATCAATCAATGCCGATTCATCGTTCAGAGATAGCACTCCACTTTAATCTTCTTGGTGGAACAGCAGCACCATGTTATAGATTTCATAAACATGTATCAAGACCAGAAGTGCAATTTTCCAGAAAACAGTTTAGGGCTAATTCAGAAACAGCCTTCTGTAATTCGCCCTGAATTTACAACCCTCCAAAGAGGGTTGCAACAAGAAGCCAGGAAACACAAAAATGTTTACAGAGAAATGTCAGGTCTTCTAGGAAAACAGCAAAATACTTTAAAATGCTGATAAGTATTAAAACTCATCTCAGCTCTGGTACCCTTTGCATGAAATGAGCTGGCTCAATCCTCTTAGATTATCCTATATAAAACCAATGTGACCATTTTAGCATGCTGGCACTTAAGAGAACTTAAAAACTTCCACTGAGATTTTTTTCTCCAAATGGGTGTGTGAATCATGTGCCAGTGAAGACCATTATCAAATGACAGGAAGTAGCCAGGAGGTCAGAGTTAAAACAGAAGTATTTTGAAAAATAATGATGCTTTAGCAGGGTTACATTTGTTCAGACACAGCGTAAATCAAACCAAACAGATCCGAGTAGAAATTGATAACTATGCACACTCTGTGTGCTTTAAACAGCTTCTCTTTAACTAGAAAGGAGTTTTCAGACTCAAACATCAGTTTTGTCTCCTGCTGTAATAAAGAATACAGGGATGACAGAGTTTCTTATATTGAATAAAAATGCTTAATTAAGTCTGTTTTCAAAACATGCCCAAGCATAGTGATTTTCTGATCTATTACTCATTGAAATACCACTACAATACAAGAAGCACCAAGCAACAGTTTATGTTACCAGTGTAAGTGTTCCATGTTTTTATTGGAAAGAACTGTAAGTTTACTGGAAAAATTGTGTTTAATGTTTACTTTCTACCTTTTGTGGTATCTGAAATGCTGTTTAGCAAGGCACACATCATGTCTCCTTCAATGTGGTGAGGATTCAGGATGCGAGCTGACCGCTGGGTCATTTTAAATTGGTTTTCCAGTTCCAGGAAGCTTTTGTCTCCAGAAAGAACAGTGAAAGGAATTTGCTTGGGCAGGTGCTCATCCAGACGACCAGCCTATACAAAACAAATGACTAGTGTTGAACAGAGATTATGTTTTTATCTCATGGCATTTAGCTAGCTTTGTGCAAGACAGGTCTTCATTGGAAAATTTTCTACAGCAATTTATTCCTGCCCTTATGATCCAAGCCACATTACCCCACTGTGAAAGGCACTGTCTCAAAAGTTTGATGCTCATTTCTTCTCCATGTACAATAGATACTGGTGATGGCTACCAGAACAGTGCAGATGGAGTATGAAACCAATGCCTAAAAAGCAGCATTTTAGAACTGTCTCCACATAAAACAAGTCATCTCTGCAGACCATTTTAAGAGTAACATAAAAAGCATGATGAAACATAAAACCATTGTTGCAAAAATGTGCTTATGCAGTTAGATAGGTAGTAATTTATCTAACTCATAAAGCACTATATGGCCTCAAGCTGCACCAGGGGAGATTTAGATTTTCACTGAAAAGGTTGCCAAGCATTGGAACAGGCTGCCCAGAGAAGCAATGGAGTCATCCACCATCCTTGGAAATGTTCAGAAATCATGTGGATATGGCACTTGAGGACATGGCTTAATGACAGTAGTAGTGCTGGGCTGATGGCTGGATTTGATGACCTAGAAGGTCTTTTCCAACCTTAAACTCCGTGATTCGGCATTAGGAATACACGAATCACCATGGCATCCCAGATTCCCATCCCTCACTTGCACATCCCAACCGTGCCAAAGCCTAAAGTCTACCAAATAAAGGCACTGCTCTTTGTCAGCTCAAAAGGGTCTGTGAAACCAGACCCATTCAACTCCATTGCAAAGATGGCTCCAGATCTGGGCTACTTGAAGAGAGACAAAGGAGTTACATGCAACTCTTAAAACAGAAACTTTAAGAAGTGTAGGTTTTTTATATCTTCATCCCCTAACCAGCTCCCTTCCCACCCCCCCCTCCAATAAACAGTTGTCCTATTCGCGCTAATTTTTAAGTCACTTCTTGACCACCCAGTTCCACTCAGTCCAGGTTTATCATTCTTTACAAGGGACACAGAAGTCTCATGGAAAGAACCTAAAAATGTCATCTGCAATTAGTACTCAGCATCAATAGCAGATGCCATCTGCCACCCTTCTCTGGGTACAGGACACAATAAAGCAAGCGTGCCCTAACTTACATGAACACAGAGAGCAAAGTCTGCTGCTTCTCTTCTGGTACTGCAACGTGGATGAAGAAAGAAACATCCAATCCTTTTAAGATAATTGTAAATTTTGCAATGCACTGGAGGCTTCCAGTTGCTGTATCCTCCTATATAGTAAAGAGGAATAATATTAATAATAATAAAAATCAAACATGACAAACAAACAAACCATGGGTTTGGGCAGAAACACCTCTATGAATTAAAAATGCATAGAAAGTAAAAGCAAATATAAAACTGTTTTTAAAGACAGAATTTATTTTGACCAATGTGAAAGCTAAGGAAAACACATAACCCAAATCCCCCCAGCCCTCTTGTTCTTTAGATAGAAGGCAAAAAAAAGTAATTAGCCTGGTGCTACTCAATCAATTTTGTACGTTTTTTTTTCTTCAAATCCTGAAAAACTTATCTTCTAGATATCATGTGATTTTAGACACAAGGATGTGTTTTTCTCCAGTTTGAAGCACGGTAATGGTTAATGTGCAGAATAAGAAGAGCTCTGGAAACATAGTACAAGTAATAAGAAGTGCTTCTCTTGGAGAAACCTGTACCACAGGACTTACAGACTCAACATGGACCATAACTGTCTGAACTCATCAAAAAGTGGATCCAAGAACTGGATCAATAGCTGAGAGAAATGCTACAGTCCTGACAAACCCCGGGATGAAGTCAAGGATAAGTAAAATGAGGCTACAACTGGGAAAAAAGTGCAGGAATTTTCTAAACAGTACACTAACCATTTAGTTACAGGCTGAGAAAATAGATGGATAATAAAGATGAGCTGAGTAAAGTGCCTGCTACAGACAAAACCAGTACCAGACTGAAACAAATTGTAAGGGAAAGAAGCAGAAAATCTCTCAAGAAGAGAGGAAAAAACAGAGGAGCTTGCATCATAAAAAACACAAGACACCATAAAAAAGCAAGCAAATGGAAGGACAATTTGACCACAGTTTTGTAACATTTCAATGGCTAGGAAATAATGGGTCTGCAACATGAGGGAAAACACATTTCTTTAACTGCTAGATGATAGAGTGGCTGGATGTAAGAGGATTTTGAACAGAAAATGAAAGCAGCCATTGATGGCACTTAACGTGAGGATGTGGGAAACCAATGCTCAAGTAAACAGGCTACAGAGGATGGTTTATGCCAACGTCCACCCACAGTCCGACAAAGAAAAGCAGGACTCAGTAGATTTCTCCTGTTTCCCCCCCTGCCTTTTCAGCCTAATGGTAAGAGTATGATATCAAAAATGACTACAAAGATTTATTAAGAGTCTACACAGAAATGATTTAGTGTAACCTGTCCATAAGAAAAAAATGCTATTTGCAAGTTGCTCTTGTCTGCTGTGACAGCCCTCAGTCACTGCTATTTGGCAAAGACTTGTAATCACCAGCCCTGTTTTCTGGCTGCATAAATGTACAATATAAGCATTTGACCAGGGCAGCTGAAAACAATGACTGACTTCTACTTATTTAGTTAGCCCACAAATGGATGAAAGACAATTGAGTATCTGAAGACAGAAACAATAGAGGCCAGACAATGCAATGGAGGAACTCAAAGTAAAGTTAAGGCTATACTTGAAACAGGAATAATAGAAATAATGCAGATATACAGTATAAAAATAATAATTAATAATTCAGGGAAACGCAGGAAAAAATGTTGCTATATTTTTCACAGGTTAAAGAGACAAGAATAGGATGCCTCAAGTAACTATACAAACCATATTATGAGATAATGATCCAGATGTGCCTGGGAGCTTTAGTGTTCCCAGGCTCAAAACCAATATAGTTGACACTAAAACTGGTAAATTTCTCTTTAATATGAATATGGTCCATTTTATTCCCAAGTTACTCTTCAGCATATTTTTTTAGTTCACATGCTTCAGGGGGCATTCCCATGAGGCACTCTGCATGCAGCAAACCCATTAGGAAGTAAGGAATTAAGTAGTGCTGATACGAGCTGTGCTGTGCCATCACACACCTGTGTTTGGAACATCTCTGGGCACAGAATCTTAACTAGCACAAAGGTACCTTTGGTAGGAGTATTTTATTAGTAGGAGTTCCTACTGATAGACTAACACTATGGTTTTACTATGATTATTTCTTTTGAGTAAGTCAGAGAGTAGAAATTTCTGACAACACAGCTCAGACATCCCTAGGCACAGCCAATTTTTTCTTAATGCATCAAAACTATGTTCTAACCTTGGAAAGCAGTAACAGCATAGAAGACCTTGTCACAGCAAACAAGCTTAAGTCAACTAATGACAAATCAGTTTTGAGTAAATTAGATAGAATGAAGTATGACTGAAAGTCAGTGTCTGAATTCATGTGGGGAAATTCTTTTCTACTAAATAATTCTTTATAAAACCCAGACAGAATAGACAGACATAGATTCCTAATAGTTTCTTATTTTTATCAGTAGAAGAAGTTTTTCCAAGGCCAAGTAGATTGAATAACTGTAGAAATAAACAAGTCTTCAGCAATTAAAACCTACAACCAAACCCTCAATCACAACAGAATTCAAGGAATGCACAGGTGAAGTGAAATCTGCCCAGATGTTTAAACTGGGCAAAGCCTTGCAAAAGACAGTAAAAACAAACAACATGTTGCTCCGCCATATGGAAAAGAGAATGTATATAAATGAAGCAGCCAACCAACATGGATGAAACAGAAATCTAGTACCATTAGGTATAATATGCAAAGTGTGATATCTTTTATATTGTTTATCTTGTGAGACCAAATGTAATCGTGTCCAGTTCTGGTGTCCAAGTGTAAGAAAGACATAGAACTGTTGGAGCAAGTCCAGGGGAGGGTCAGAAATTGGTAAGAGGACAGTTGATAAGAGCACCAGCCCTATGAAGAGAGGCTGTCAAAGTTGGGGGCTGTTCAGTCTGGAGAAGAGAAGGCTGCATGGAGACCTCACAGCAACCTTCCAATATCTCAAGCAGCCTAAAGGAAGCCAGAGCAGGACTCTTAGTCAGGCACTGTAGGACAAGGAGTAATTGGTACAAACTGAAAGAGAAGGGATTTAGGCTAGATATTAGAAAGTTTTTACTGTGAGGATGGTTAGACACTGGAACAGGTTGCTCAGGGAGGTCTTGGATGCCTCAACCCCAGCAGTGCTAAATGCCAGGTTGATAAGGCCTTGAGCAACCTGGTCTAGTGGGAGGTGTCCTTGCCCATGGCAGAGGGGGTTGGGACTAGATGATCTCTAAGGTCCACTGCAATCCCTTAACATTCTATGATCTGAAACCTCAAAATCAGTATTTTCTGTGGCTTGCATGTGTACAGGAATGCTGTTACAAAAAGGCCAAAGGTAATGACTATACATGTAGCGACACAGAAGTAATGTTGGAGTAGAACACAGAACTCAGGAGAATAACCTGCTTTAACAGAGAAGATCAGAGAATTCATCCCCAAAACTCCTAACAAGCAGATACCAGATTCAATTTCAGGAGCACAGATCACCGTTTCAATCTCTACCACTTTACGTTAACAGTATAATTGCTCTGCTTTTATCAGCTAACTGGAAAATCTGTTTCTAAGAGGAAAAAAAAAGTGACCTAGGCATCAAGAGACCTTTCTGTCCAACATGAGCAGCATGACAACTCCCAGCTTTCAGAATATCCTTGATTATCTTTTATGGGAAGAAATAATAAAAAACACTTAACAAGGAAGTGCAGTGCAGTAGTGTTTACCCAGTGTAAAACATACCTGACCTACAAATCTGGTAAGATGATGCCTGTGTTTCAGGCCATAAGTATTTTGAAAGTGTCCCTTATCTACACTTTACTGAAGAAATCAATGTACCACAGACAAAATAATAGTAAAGACAGATACAGGGAAAACCCATAGAAAAAGCATGAGGTGGACACGCAGTTGGTTCAGAAACAGTCAGTTAAGCAAAAGTATCAACTTAAAGGGATGCCACTTGTAGACTTGGCAAAGTGGTATGATCTTTAAGGTCCCTTTCAACCCAAACCATTCCATCATTCTATGAAGCACATGACAATGCGAGTTTCATCAGTCACTGGTATCTTCAAGATGGGACATATACCTATTGTTGTACAGGATGACCAGGACCATCCTTTACAGACCAAACCAGAGACAGAACAAAATTAAAAGTCTAAGAGTGCAAAATCATGCCTTCTGTAACTAAAAATACAAACCAAAATAAAAAATCCCAGCCTTACGAGAATGACTTAGGAGTTAATATAATCTCTGAGTATTATGTCCTGGTAATTATGAAAATATGATACAGCTTAAGCTCATGAGGGAAGCCAGAAAGACTGATAAACAGTTCAACAATTCTGGAACTATTCTACAAGGAACAGTAAGAGCAGTGGAGGTTAAGACAGAGTTTGCTAAGTTCAAGAACATTTCTGTTACATGGTGCCTGTGACACTGCAACTTTAGAAGCCTAGCACCTACTTGCTCTTGTTCTTCATTCTCTCAGATTCAAGGAATCTCTGCTCAAGTACACGTGTAGACTTGTTAATCTTACCTTTAATTTACTTCAAACAGTTTTTACCTTGAAAACCCCAGATAAATGTCCCTTGGTTCAGGTTAGCTGGCAGCTGTGTGAAAAAGCTTCCCCAGTTGTCCAGATCCACCAACACAATGTGAGTCATAGTACTCAGATAGTCCAGATCAGGAAGTTCACCATCTTCAATGGGATAAAAAGGATACATTTAAAATTCATGTGACTTTCTGGTCAACCAACTTGCTTTTGAAAATTCTTGTAGTCACATATATAAGTGAAAAGTTACAAAAAGAAAAGTTACAAAACATGATGTTATTTGGTGAATGCATATATTTTAAAATCAACTGAATTAGCACTTAATAATGCATAGATTAGAGAGAAGAGTGGAATTTGACCATATGATGGTTCAAACCTGGATAGTTTTGTGGTAAGCACAAAAAGCTGTCATCCCTCACCAAGACATTTATTTAATATCCAGCTGTGTGATTTAATAACCACCCCTGACTATGCCAAGTCTCTGTAACATTCAACTGCTTGCATGCATAAAAGCACATGAAATGTTTAGACATGCACTTTTTGCTGCACTTCTAACATAAATGTCAACCTCTTAATCAAAAGCATTAAGACACCACCAGTAATCAAGAAACACTTCCGATTCCTGAACACAAGGTACACCTTCAGCATCCTTGATGTCATTCTTAAAAGTGATAATGAACTTGAAAAAAATTGCACGCTTCAGGGAAAAAACCAAGTCATACTGGGAATATAAATTCTCAGCTGATACCGCTTTTTGGCAAGCTAGGAAAGCCGAGATGATGGTGATATAACAGCACTGCCCACACAGAAAGCACTAACAGGCTCATAAATATTTATATATATAAAGAAGGCAAGTTTCTTTTTGAATGTGTATGATAAATCACTTTTACACTTCTAGCCATTACATCCTAACTGGGGTATCCTTGATGGTCCTCTTCCTTTTAGTACCAAATTATGCTCCAAACCAATTTGAAAATCAAATGTTTCGGTCTCAGGATTCTCACATCTGCCTTTTTGTTTGTTTTTTTCCCAAGACTTCGTACACTTAGCATATAAAAATAAATTGTGGAGTCTGAGTTTTGGAAATTCAAGTACTGAGAATTCAGTGTTTGAGAAATAACAAGTACTAAATTCTAAGCTCATTTATAGACTGGATGTAACCAAATGGTATGTGACATGTACTGACAATGAAACAGAGTGTGTTAAGGACAGCAATACTTTTCTAAAGTTTTAACAAATCTTCTACATACTTTCACTACATTCTTCAGACTGTTCTGAGTCCTCATTTTTTATTTTCTTTCCCTCTATTGTACCCTGCAGAGGAGAAAACTGTGGTCTCTCCTGAGTTTTGGATGGAGATGCTTGAAGTTGTTGCCTGTGAGGTTTTCTGACCACACAAGCCCCACTTGCTGAAAACTTGAATACTGTGTCTTCTGATTCTGATGCAAGACTTGATAGATCAGGTTTCTGCAAGAAGCAGTGTTTCATGTGATAGTGCTGATGTGCACTTTGAAGATCATCAAAGTTTTTGTTGCATGCAGCACATCTAACAACGTACATCTCTCCCTTAGGTTTTACTGACGTGTGACTCTTGAGATGACTGTTCAAATCAGCAATATTCTGTGCTGTTGCAGAACACAAGCAGCATCGAAACCATAAGTTTCCTTTCTGCAGCATGACTCTCTGACAATTCTCATAATCATTCCTCCTGTTTATTTTGGAGATGTAACTTGTCCGGCAACCACAGGTTAAATAGTCTCCTTGTTCAACTGGAAGGAAATCCTCTTGTTTTTTTATTGACGGCTCCATCTGCTCAGGCACAAATGTATAGTCCATGCTATGAAGGGCCTTGTAATGGATTAGAAATTCTTCCTCTGTGTTGAAGAAGAGATCACCACAAAGGCCACAGAAGTATTTAGTCTGTATCTCCTCATTATGATGCTCTTGGAAGTGCCGCTGTAGTGTTCCTACTTTCCGAAAATGATTTCTACATAAGCCACATGAGTACCTGTGAAATGCATGGCTTTCTAAGGACATGCAATGCTGTTTAACACTCTCTTCAGACTCAAACATCTCCTCACAAATGCGGCACTGCCATTTTCCCACAACAGAAGCACTCTCAGGGGAGAGCTCCACAGGGTCAGAAATGCAGTCTTTATTTTCATCTGCAGAAATGCTCACTGCATAAGAAACAGATGGCATAGGCTCATCTTCTACAGCTTCTTGCTCATAATAATAACTATGTCCACCATGAAATTCAGTTATGTGTCCCATAATATCCTCTTCTCTAAGATCTACAGAGCATGCTCTGCACCAGAGAAGAAAATTAGTTAAGTGTGCTCCTCCATGGAATCGACTCATATGTAGGCGGATAATGCTTGAATTTTCAGCCAGCTTTCCACACACAGCACACTTGTGACAGATCCTATTTGCTGATAAAATGTGCTTTTCTACTGACTCTTCTGTAAAAAACTTTTGAAGGCATTCACAAAACCAGGCTTTTACTTTGCAAGCACTACCTTGACTTCGGTTTGCAACTTCATCTTCATTTTTATCTTTTAAATTACTCTTCCGTTTTGAAGTAGAACCCGTTTCACTGGAGGACTCATCTGGACTCAAATGTCTTTTAAGCAGTGGTCTTGACCGTTCCACAATGTAGCACAAATGAGACTGATTTTTATGTTTTCCACTGACGTGGCAGAACATCAAGATGGACTCTTCCAGTGTAGTAAAATCTCTAATGTTATGCTGAGTGCTTTGTTTGTGTTGGGTCATCTGATTCTTATCAGCAAACAGTTCATCGCAGCTCTCACAGTAACCTTTCCTTTTAAATATCTCTGCAACTTGGGAGATGCTTTTCTTTGACAGTGCCATGGGCCCAGAATTATAACAACGTGTTCTAGAATGGATTAAAAAAATACAGAGGTTATATCACAACCTGGAACATTTTTAAACTTTCAGATGTACTCGATATATTACCAAGTAGCTACAGGATAAGTGCACAGTAACACTGTCCTCTATGTACTTTAACCCACCTACCAGCTTGTCAACAAAACCACACAATGTATATTTAGTCTCTGAACTTTGAAGAGAATTAGGTGTTAATTTCCAAAGCTAGCATGTAGATTGAAGCTTACGTTTTTGACCATAAATTTTCAAAATCAAATGCTGTCAACTTAGAATTAGCGGAACAGAGAACAGCTTTTGTTGTTCTGTTACAGAAAATACAGAGAGGATCCTGACATTGATCAGCTTCCTGCAGTGTGCAGTACAGTTAAGGGGGAAGGCTTCTAATTGCTTATTCAGATGGTCCTAGCTTTCCTGAACTCCACTAGTACCACTAAAAGCATGTCTGCATACATGTCATTGATCTGTAGATGATCACACTTTAAAGACAGCTGACTTTCACAAACCTGAAATGAGCCGTTAATTCCATATGTGAGCGCAGTATCTTGAAGCAGGACATACACTTCACTTGGAAGGGGACCTCTTTGCACAGAGATATCAAGAGGTTCTTTGCAAAGGATGGAAAAGGTAGCGGATGGCCAGACTTCAATGCATCTATAAAACAGAATGGTACAAAGTGCAACCACACATTAGAGTTTTTCCATAGAATTTCAGCTCTCTGATGACATGACTGTTTACAATTGCTATTGTTACTGGTCTATCACAGGGTTCAGAAAGCAAGTTAACAAATACCAGCTGAGCTACAGTAACAGTGCAATGGAAGCTGTAACTAAGTCCTTAATTTTTTAAACTTCTGTAACTATCTTATATCTGAATCTGTTTGAATCTTGCTTTTTCATACTTCCCTTTTCCTCCTTCTACAATGCCAGGTCAGTATCTCTCTTCGGAAGGTTCTTTACCATCTTCTCCTCCACCTACCACCAGCTGTCTACACTTACTACATAAAATTTTGTTTTAAGCCATAGAGTACTTTTTTAAAAAAACACACAATTTATTTAACAAGTTGCCACATACTCTGACCATCTCCTTCTCTCTTTCCCATCCTTAATGTTAATTCTTAAATTTTTAGATGCGAGACTTCCTGTTGCTCTGAGTATGTACTCCACATGTAACTTCTGGTACCAGAATAAGAAAATTCTACTAAAAAGAGAATGGAAAATGGTTTCTAGGTTCATGTTCTGAACCTTAGCAGGCAAATTCTCCTTCATTTTTATGTTTTAGTAAGATGTGATGATCATTCGGCAGTAATTTGAGGTTATGCCCTTCAGCTAACTTCACTGGCAGATCTCAGGCCATGCTGATAATTGTTAATCATGAAGCCTTACTAATGTGAAGTAGAAAACAGAGCACTCAGTTTTTTGTTCTGAGTTAAGCATTCTCCATCTCTAAACAAGAAAACACTAACTTGTACTTTTAATCTTTTCAAGGCAATAGCTCACCAGTAATCTTTTTTAAAATCTATGACCTGAATTTAAAAGCATCTGCAGTCATCACATTCAGAATTAATAACCTATTTGAGAACAGAAGTACATTAGAGTGACAATGCATAAGGGAAAGTATAACCATGCATGACTGTCATTTCACTATATGAAGGCAGCAGTACTGACTCAACCTGCAGGGGATTCCTTCAGAGCTTGGCTTTTCTGTACATTTCCTGCAGCCACTCTAGGCAGAAGTTGAAGATACACTTATAAAGATGAGAAATAACCGCATGAATCTTTGTGGCCATGTAGGCTTATCCAGAGAGTTAAAATGTCTAAAATATGGCAACTTGGCAATTTAGCTAACATTGAAGTAAATGCCTTAATGCCTATTGCTTATGTCAAAAAGTAAGTACAGCTATGTTGGGCAATTAACCCTACTTTCAGCACCATGCTCAGACAGATCTTTCCTCTGGACTTTATTAAAGCATGGTTCAGGATGTTGCAAGCTCACAACATAACATTATCTGAGCCTCCAACAGGCATGTAGTTTGTGCAAGCCATCAGAACGGCAGCAATGTTCCAGCTAAGCACTCTAAATTTGCAATTATACAGAGAAGACATTTTCCAAAGTCTTTACCATCAGGAATGCCAAGGACACCAACAAGAAAAATAGCCTCCAAACACACTACAGTAGAATAAGGGGAAGGAATTCAACAGCCACTCTGACTGGAATTGAAAAGGCAATTTATGTGTTTTGCTCTGAGTCTCTATCAACATGCTAAATGTAAACTTATTCAGGAAAGTAGCAACATGGCATCACTGGAGGCTGAGAAGCTTATATGAGAGACTCAACAGCATCTCATTACAACAAGTGTGAGAGAGGAATCATTTCTACACAAAAATATGAATTTCAAAGCATCACATTTAAGATCTTAAAAGAAAAACAAGAATTCATTAATAACAAACCTTAAAATCTTAAGCTTCTTTTATGCAAAAAATGTAAGTCACTTCCTATCTTATGGATGAATTATCAGAAAAAATATAAGCAGTACACTTAGTAGCAACGTACCACTCGGTTCAGAAACCTGGAGGAAGTGGTTCTCTTGCGACATATGCTGCACACATTCATCTCTTTTGGTGAAAAGGAGGAAGCACTTTGGGCATGCAAAACACTGAATATGCTGTGGAGGAATACCTTTTTTATGCCCATCATTTTTATTTAGCTGGAAGAGAAAATTATCTGTTTAGGAAAAAAACTTAAGTCAAGAAACCAGTCCCAGTTCTCATATCCTCCCATTCCTCTCTCTCTCATTTCTGTGGTAATATTTTCATTTTTAGGTTTTCAGCTAACACATATACATTTATCTACAGCCTACCCCTCTGCTCACAAGACACAAGGAACTGGCCAAAGCACCCCTGTCAAACCCAGTTACTCATCCACCCTAACTACACCATCAACTTCTCCATCCTCTTCTTGCATCGCTGAGATCAAGCACCTTCCCTGGGACTATGGGTTCCAGCAATTCTTAGCCATTCCATTTACCCAAGCTCTCAGAAGAAGCTCCCTCTGTCAATAAAGCAGCTGTTTTACCTCATGACAGTTCTTCTCTAACCTCTTGCTAACCTCTAACTCCCCAAAATGCTGCTCCTCAGAGTGGCCCCAAAGGTCTGTGACTTTTGTAGAAGTGAACTTCTTCCATCCACTTTGCCTTCTACATCAACATCAGAGCTCTGCCTTCAGATTAAAAATCCTTTAGTTCTCCTTCTGATATTTTTACTTGCTTCTTTCTACATCACCCCAAGAATCTTCATTATATGCTCAGAGCTTTGACTAGGATTATCTCCTCAACCTTATGCACCAAAGTAATCCCATCTTGCTGTCTGCAAGAGACACAGAGACACTCACTGCCTCTCCCCAACCTTGGCTGCTACTCTTGCTAATGTCCCTGAACACCTCAGATGCATACAACTTTGAAGCAATGGAGAAAGAGCAGGTACACACTATGATGCAGCCTTTCAGTTTGTCAGGTATGACTGTATATCAAGAGTTATTACTACAAGCAAAATTTAGTCTTATTTTCAGAAAGTCTAACACTTCCCCAAATTTAATGCAGCTTCTGGAGACTAAGTGAGAATATTTGTTATCAAAACACCCAATTTTGAAAATGCTATTCATTATCCAATTCAACACCAGACTGCTTAAATAAAACACCCATCTCCTTTCCGCTGCTTCTCTTCACTATCACTTATTTCACCCTAAGTTCCTACCTTTACCTATCAGTTTTGGAAATGCAAAAAAAAAAAAAAAAAAAAAAGAACACCTATCAACAACACCACCAAGAGGTTCAAGACAAAACTACAGTCACCTTGAAAGCATACCAAAAAGTACAACAGTACAACCTAATGGTCACATCTAAGGGAAAACTATCAGGCTACACCAGGTGTTTGAAACACAGCAGAATCAGAGAAAACTATCTTGAAGAGTAGAAGAGAGGAGAGAGAAAAAGAGGGTTAAAGAAAAAACAAAACAAAAAACCCCACCAAAATTCAATGCATAATTTTAAGTCTTAAACCCTCTACTACATTCACTCAGATGAGTTATTTATCCTTATGCTCTTGCCTTAGATAAAAGATGATCATTGTACTGCTGAGAGGTTGAAAATCTTTCACAGCATATCACACAGGCAAGAGCATTATGTGGGGGTCCATGTAATGTGACTGTTGGATCACAAGGAGAATGATCAAACCTGGAAAAGAAAAAATAATTAGCAAACTAGTCCCCTCTAAATAGTCAAACAGTGCTTTTTTTAAATGGGAAAAATTCTGTCCTTTGAAGCTATCAGACAAAACCCCCCTATCTAACCAACCTAAATTATAAAAATTCCTTAATTCCCCTGTTATGGAATGTGTCAGTTCAAGTGTCCAGCACAGAGATGATTTTCCTGCAGCCTACATGTTAAAATGGCCACTCTGGAGAGAAAGCATACTGCTTTTAAGAGAACTAACAAAATCTTAATTTCCTATATAGACATTTCTATAATTTATTTGTTTTTATCTCCCTGTACTAGTTCTGGTTGGGATGGAGTTAATTTTTTCTAGCAGCTTATATGGTTGTTTTATTTTGGATTTATGAACAACAGTGTTGCTGGAACAGAGAAGTTTTAGAGCAGTGTCAAGGTCATCTCTGTTTTTCAGACTGTCCCACCAGCAAGATGTTGGGAGACACAGCTGGGACAGCTGACTTCAAATGGCCAAACAGACATCCCACAGCATAAGACATCATGCCCAGCAACAAAAGTCGGGTGGAGGAGGAAGGGGAGATAGTTGGGAAGAAAAATGAAAAATGCCATCACTCCAAGCTCACATATGATAGAGCTCTGCCTGTCAATTCCTTACTTTGCTTTGCATGTGTGCGCAGCCTTTTCTTTACCAATTTAATTGTTTTTACCTCAGCCCAGAGTTTTCTCACTTTTACTCTATATCCTACTAGGGAGGGTGAGTGGGTGAGTGACTGACTGACTGTGTGGGGCTGAGCTGCCTATGTGGGCTAACCCATGACACTCCCCTCAACTTCTCACCATCCTGCCTATGGACATATTCACTAGTTAACAGGCAGTATCTGCTGGAATTGAACACAGACACACTGAGCACTGACTAGCAAGACCATCAATGAACACATAGCCTGTAGCTTTTGTTTCTCTACCCTACATTAGGGGCTTTTTTTATCTTATCATCAACTTACAAGTTGATGGTAAGTTAGCCTTTTAGTTTATTTCAAGTTTGGATGAAGATACAACTAAACTGGAGTACAGAAATCTCAAAAAAATTCAGACATTAAAAAGCACTCAACAAGTGAAAAAGATCAATTCTGAATGAAAAAAAACCAAAACCCACACACACCAAGTAAAAAACTAAACCAAGTCAACCAAAAAAAACCCCATCCAGAGAGTCTGTATGTCATCCATACAAATTGTAACATATTAATTGGCTGTCAAAGTGGAGCTTTGCCAGTACAGGCAGCTTAAAGCAGACTTGATGCTTATGTCTCAAGTTAGAGTACATTCTTTTATTATTATTATTATTCCTTGCACTGAACTCTTGCAATGTATCTCCTTACCTTTGAAGGTGACCTAGAAGAAGATGTACATTATCAAATCGTCTGTTGCAATGCATCACAGGACAATATTTGGGTCTGCTGTTGACTTGAGCCTGACTTGTCCTCTTATAAACACCCCTTTTTCCACCATTAACAGAGCCTGGTTTCAGACCTGTGTTACAAAACAAAGTACTTCAACCAGAAGCTGAATTACAGAGACTTAAGAAAACAACAGACATGCCCTAAAACATTCCAAATCAAACTGCAGTGATTCTTAAAAGAAAACTAACAATCCACTCACTGTCCTTCAGTCCTACTACACTAAGTCTGCTCTGTCACTGTCTCTTCCAATTCCCAGTAGTGTAACTTTTGAATCAGTTTGATACCCTTCCTCCAGGTCCTCCAGCCAGTATTTTAAATTCATTAAACACTGAGATGTTACTCTTACTTATACATTCCTAAGCAACAGTTCAACAGTACTATTTTTTCTTCCTAGCAACTTTGCTTATAAAAATAACTAACATTGCCTTACTGGTTTATAGACTTCTTATCTTAAATTTTCTACATAGCAATGCATTACAAGAATAGTTTTCATGGAAATAAATGTTTAGGTACTTTCAAATTATATGCTCTAGCAAAATTAATACTGTAGGATTTGGTTATGCATAAGGCACCTGCAAGCTCAACACAATTTACATATGTTCTACTCTGTGATGCAGGATTTAGCAACCATCACTCAAATTATTTTTCTATTCTTACCTGGCATTTTTAACCACTGGTCCACACATAACCTTGCAGCTTCTGTATCACTGTGTTCCCGAATAAATTCTAATTCTTGCAACCCATGAGCATACAGGGAATCAACTTTCTCCTAAGGAAAAAAACATACCAGACAATGTTGTGATCAAATTAAAAAAAAAAAAGATTAAGAATGTATCTCAAAACTCACATAAGGGCTCCTAAAAAACACACCCACAAAGAGCTGAGTGAGGGAAAAAAAAAATCTTACAACTTAACTGACTTCTATTTAATACAATAAAAATGCAATGTAATAGAAAAAAAAGAAAGAAAAAGGAGTTTTTACTTTGAAGACTAAATTTAAGTCTGCAGTTTGCATTACCTAATGAAGAGTGAAGAGCCAAGCAGGAGGAAAATATTCATCTTTAACAAAAGGATATTTTAGCCTTCATTCTCAAGCCACTTTAAATTCTACACAGTTATTTCTGACTCCACTTTACAGTTGAAAAACCGTATATGGAAACATAAACAGATTGCCAAATTCAAAGTGGAAGAGACAGAAACAGAAGGGGGATGGATATCGGCCTCCAGACTTCACGGCATCCCTGGACTATATGTAATCTAGCCTTTTACTGCTGTACTACAGTTGCACAGTCTACCATAGACAGTAACAAGTTCTAACTACAGTAGAATTATGTCATTTTAAAAACCATTAACAGTGTTGAGAAAATTAGGCTGGGAAGTCAGCACATTTTGGAGTTACATTTGTCCCTGCTAAATTCCATTAAGTTCCTGCACTCCCATTCCTTCAGGATGTCCAGCTCCCACTGAGAGCAGTCCTTCCATTAAGCCCACTGACTGTATCTCCCAGTTTGTAATAAAAGTAAAAAGTACATTCTTTTCAAATGGCTGCAAAGTGCAACTAATAGAACTCAACTTTAAAATTACACCTTAAACACTAAAAATTTTATCCCATTATGAAATACCAACTGATACAGATTTAATGTGGCAAACAGCTTCCCAAAAATCTCAGACAAAAGCAGGTAAATAACAAGGCTTGCTGCATGGTGGCTTGTGATAACTGTTATTTTTCAATTAACTGAAATATCAGAATATCAGAATAATTGACACTAAGGTACCTCTGCTATATATACAAACAAGAGAACAAGTTTTTGCCACTAGTTTTCATTAATTTCATTTCTCCCCACTTAGAGCTGCAGTAAGACTAGTAAACTGGTTAGTTAAAAGCTGATGCCTTAAGTTCTTAAGGCATCAAAGCCACTGAAAAGACAAAGTCCATGTCCATGCTGTGTTTCACACAATGCCACAGAAGCAGAAGTCTAGTTGCTAATTCCAGGTATTCCCAACCAATTTTTTCATTTATTTAGTAGTGAAAACAAAGATACTTGTGACTACAAGGCCTTTTTTATGCAATTCTTCCAAAATACCTTGAAAGCTTTATTTTTCTCTTCTTTTTGTTGTTTTTCTACTTCAACATGGCGTGCCAGACGATCCAGGGTTGATGTAACTCGCTCCTTCTGATAGTCAATGTGATCCTTACGCTTAGTGTTTCTCTACAATTGGAAAGTTAAACTCTTATTTGGTGATGGTTATGAACAAGACTAATAATAATTATGAACATTATTATTATTTTGTTATGAACTAACACTAATACAGTGAAAAGTGACACCCAAGCACTGTGACATAATTCAATAAAGATACTTTTATCCTAAGTTCCATGATCTACCTTGCAGCTTTCTCTTCCTTTTTACCAGCATCTGCAACTTCTGTTAAAAAACAAAAAAACAACCTTCCCCTCCACATATTCAAAGCAATTCACCATAAACATTAGCCTCACCATGCAGTAGAGGAACATGCATGATTGTGCTGAGTGTCCCAGAAGTCTCCAACAAATGAAAAGCAAGTACTTCTAAGTAAACAAAATCCCTCCTGACTTCAAAAAGCCAACATGCAGCTCATCTAAAAAAACTGAAAACTGCTATCATTCTTGCTCTAGCACTGCCCACTATCTTCAAAAAAGCAGAATATGAGCTTTTTCTAGCCTAAGGGATAGGCCCTATACTGTAGTTTCCTCTTCTTACAGTCATTTCTAGAAATGATCCCTGTAATGTCAGCCTGTCCATGTAGAGAAGATCACCTTTCCTTAAGAATCATGTTTATTACAAACATCCTCTGCTGCAACACAGAAAAAAAAAAGCCTAAAGACAGTCACTGCTGCCAAAAGCAGCTCTAGTAGGGTCTATCGTCCCCTTCAGAGGCCTTGCAGAGCAGGCAGACTAAGTTTGGGGGATAGATAAACTAATGAGCCTGTTTCTGACTTGTACATTCTTAGAATGGATTATGAAGGATTAGGCTAAGACCAGACTGTCACTGGAACAAGGTCATTCAACCCATAAATTGTTCCTAAAAAGTTATTTTAGAGAGAAAAGCCCTGGTAGTAGACCAGATATTTTTTCAAGCTAGAAACTGTACACCCTGACTTCTGAGGCTGTAAAGTGACATTTTACTTCCACACACTTGTTAAGATGACTGAAAGACAAATAAAATACTGAGTGATTTCAAGGCAGAAAAAAAACTCTCTGGAAAAAATGGAATACTGGTATTCTTCCTTTTCATTCAACAGCAAGCAGAAAAATCAAAATATTTCAATACTGGTTATTTTGTACTTGTGAAAAATACATCTAACAAGGCTTTTGTGAAGAGTAGCTGATCGGAAAAAATACAGAAGACCAATTATTTTATTCAACCAAGATGTCTTCAAATACATTCCAACGTACTCACATGAAAATAAGAACTGCTATTAGGTTCTTCATCCTCACTGCTGACAAGATCAATGCATTCAAGGACAGGCCTTAAAGGTCCTTCCTGGAAAAAAGTGTTAAAAACACACACACAAAAGCATTGAATTGTCTTCCTCAAGAGATAAAATGAACAAACTGCCAATATATGGCAGATGGTACAAGATATTAAAAATCAACTACGTAGGGTAGGTTCAGAAGACCTACTGCCTCATGATGAGTAGCAGAGAGAAAAGCAGCATGGAATCCTGTCTGCTGCTCTTAATGCATCTCATTCTTTACATTCTTCCACCTTTCAAGGCAGTAAAGCTGTTCAGCTGGCCAGGCATGAACAGCTTCTCTTTCTCACTGGGGAGAAGAGGGATGAAACCTCGGACAGATGACAAAAGTTTCTATGAATCAACCTGCCAGCCTCCAATTACCCCCAAAGAGTAACTCTTTACGATTAAATAAAGATAACATAGTTTTCTAAATGAAATATTAAAAAGATACACTGCAGATTTGCTTCTGTAGAAATTGACAAGCTCTGCAACACTTTTAAGAAATTAAACCTTTATTAAACAGGTGTTAGCAAGTAAGAGTTTAAAGACACACTGACCACCTGACTGTCTGATCAGCTCAATAATGTGTTTTGAAATGCTCAGTTCTGATCCTAACAGCTTCTTCAAGGGCAGAGATTTTTCTTGTTTGTGTTTACTTACTCTCAGGGCTGAACAACTAACCAAAACTTGCAAAACTGACAGCTGAAATGCTGAGTAACTTGCTTTCAAGCCTAGAAGTTCAAGTGATCGAAACAATACTTTTAACACAAGTAATATTACACTTGATTAAATGCTTTCTGCACACATGAAATGTTCTTTTTCCTTCCAATATCTGTGCCTTTTTCTATGCAATTTTTGGGTACTGTTTACCTCCACGCAAGACAAGCCCCAAACTGAAAGTTATGAGAGTTTTAATTACTTTATTTTCCAGATGGTTCAACTTAATAGTAAGGCAAAGACAGTGCCAACCCTGAAGATTCCACCACTATAAGAGGGTTAAGAAGATGAGGATCGGAGAGCTTCATCCTACCTGTTGTAACTCCCTCCCGGATGAGTGCCGGTGTAAATCTTGGCACACACAAAGTTTGCCATTTCAAAAAAACAACAAAAAAAAAACATGGACAAACTCTCTCCATGAACAGCTGAAAGCTGGAGCCTCTCTAGCTGACTATACTGGCATACTTGGCACCCAGAAAGACACAAAAGCATTCAGATGTACTAGCACTAAGATATGCTCGCTCTTCACAGCTTAGATATGCTCGCTCTTCACAGCTTAACAGCAGATCCTTCACATTCAAAGAAAAAAAAAAACAAACCAAAAAACAAACCCCAAAAACAACCAACCAACTAAAAGCAAAACAAAGACCCAACCTAAAAATATCCCAAACCTCCAACACAATCCACTTCTAAATTACTTCCCTCGACAATCTTCATAAGCCATTCTTCTCACAAACCAACAGCCATGCCATTGCACAACAAACAAAATTCACAGGTACTTCTGTAGGTTTCTTTCTAGGTTTTTAATTTTCCAGCTAGCTGTGGCATCTCTGCTGTTATTCACAGCTTTGCGTGGAAGCATCAACAGAACTGTAATTTCACTATGCTATCCAAAATACCCACTTTAACTGTTAATACAATCATATTTAACTGGTGACTGGTAAAGATGAAGCCCCATATTCATCTCCAAGAGTTTCTTTCCAAGGAGTTCTGTGAAGCTCATTTTTATCCCAAAGTTTTCTTTGAAAGCCCTGAACTGTGGTCTCTCTTTCAGGCCCTTCACCAGTTCACTTGATCTTTGGGTGATGTGGCCTAGCTAACAGACACCTTGTCCACTGACACCATGCAAGGTGTTCTGTTTGCTGTTTTAGCTTTGTGTGCATTCAGACCAAGTGCCAGTTTACTTAAACAACACAATTAAACTTCTGCATAGCTACACACACACTAGCAAACAGAAAACATGAATCTAGCTTTCATGTATGTGACCATAAACTTATCTTTGACAAATAATTATGTGAGCATCATTGTGTATACACATGTAAGCACACCTATTATCACAGAACAAGCTTACATTGAAATAAATTTTTAAAAATTGACACAAGATGTACTCTGCACAAGATTTGTATTCTGAATCTTTGTCCTAGCAGACTTCCAACTTTTAAGACTGCTAAGAACCGAACAACATTGTGAACCAACATGCACTTAACATGTTTTGTCTTTGTAACCTAGCAAATACAAATATTCAAGTCCCTGGCTGATGTGGGATGGGTGCAGAAAGAGTTGCTTCCTAACACCACTCTCATTTTATTCAGTTCCTGCTGTGATACAACTAAAAGCCAGAGAGACAAATACTTCATTCTGAATACCTAATATTTAATACCACAGAGAAAAGGAAGCAAAATCTTTAATTGGTAACTACCATGTTTTAGTGCATTACTTGATATGGTATATTAACTAACTCTCCTCTAAGTCTAATGCTTTTGGTGCCAACTGTGGCAACCTGAATTATCTAACTATTTGTTCACAGGGCATTACAATTGTGAATTTCTTCACTTTTGCCTTATCCTTCCCAAGTAAGCAAAATGGAGGCAAGACCATCCTATGTTAGGAACACAGGAGTAACAGCTTGCACTGTAGATTAAATCAGATCTCTCTGGTGATATCCAAAACTTAAAATGTAGTGATTTTAAATGGACAAAATATGTTTTAATGCAGAATTAAAAGAAAAATTATGGAAGAATGGTTTTAAGTTTCTTGGAATGAGGGTCAATCAGACTACAAAAGCTGAAAATCTCTGGCAGCAGCAGATTGACAAGAAGTCTTTATTTGAAGGAGCAAAAGCACAGTCCTACAGTATGAATTCAAACACTCTAGTATGAGTGAAGTAGAAAAACAAAACAAAACAAAACCACAAAGAAAAACTGATCAGAGATAAAAAACCCACATCAAACCCACATTTGACTGTCAAGAAGGAAAAAAAAAGAGGAAAAGGAAGAAAAACACAGATGACATGGGCTACAGCTACTTGTTTTCTATCAAAATGAGCAAAGGTTGGGATACTCCAGTAGCTTCTCTAATTCAATTGATACAGTACTATCTTGTGCACTGGGTCTTTAGGATGTGCAGATAATCAGGAGGCATTCATCCGTAACATTTATGAAGAGTGTAAGTTTCCAGTCATACACATTATTACATGGAAATGATGATCTAAAGCTAGCCAAGCAGTCTAGAAATCCTTTTGCTAAGTCCAAAGTCACCTTCATTCAGAGGAACAAATGAGAACTGAAGACATACTGCTGGTATTAGGTGTTGGCCTAATAGGGTCACGCCCCTTTCCCCTCAGATTCATCAATCACAATAACCACCTCCTCACCCCAGGATATAAATCTTGCACAAAATTTGAGCAGTCATCTTCCTATATATATATATTCCTATATATAGCAGCCTCTCTTGGAAGCAATAGTCACTAGGACCACAAAAACTATTATCCACAGGCATAAAGACTATTATCTACAGGCAAAGCCAAGAGGGGGAAAAAAAAAAAGGTAGCCAGAAGCGTTGGTTTTAGTTCTTTTGTTTCAGTTGTCTTTCAGTTACTGTTCTTGGTGCTCCAGCAGCCCTCCAATCCTTACACATTCCAAGCCATACTCACTTCCTTGTTCATAGCCCAGTTTGAAGAAAACGAAGCTTATTCAGTTATGACCACAGAATCATAGAATGGTTTGGGTTGGAAAGACCATCTTGTCCCAACTCCCCTGCCATGGGCAGGGACATCTTTCACTAGACCAGGCTACTCAGAGGTCCCTCCAGCCTGGCCTTGAACACTCCCAGGAATGCGGGGCATCCACAACTTACCCAGGCAACCTGTTCCAGTGCTTCACCACCCTCACAGAAAATAATTTCTTCCTAGTACCGAATTTAAACATACTTCTAGTCTGAAGCCATTCCTCCTTGTCCTCTCACTATATACTCTTGTTAAAAGCCCCTCTCTATCTTTTCTGTAGGCTCTCTTCAGGTGCTAGAAGGCTGCAATTAGGAACCCTTCAAGCCTTCTCTTTTCCACAGTCTCAATTCTCTTAGTCCTTCCTCACAGGAGAGGTCCTCCATCTCTCTGATCATTTTGGTGTCCCCTCCCCTGGACTCACTTCAACAGGTCTTTGTCCTTCCTGTGCTGGGGACCCCAGAGCTGATGCAGCACTGCAGGTGGGGTCTCACCAGAGCAGAGGGGCAGGATCCCCTCCCTGACCCTGCTGGTCACGCTGCTTTTGGTGCAGCCCAGGATACATTGGAATTTGGAAACATGCATTGCCAGCTCATCCAACAATCCCAATCTCTCTCTGCAGATGCACCTGTGTGTATACAATGAACTTTGAACTCCTTAATAAATTTTGCCCAAATCAACCAAAATATTAAGATTTCTCAGAGATAACCAACTACTTCTAATTTTTGCAAAAAAACACCTATCCTTCATACTAGAGCACATAAATACTCCTGCAGAAAAAGACTGCATGTTGAACTTCGGGTTTAATCAAACACCATACAAAATGGGGGGGAAATTTAGTAATTATTCAGCATGTTGTTAAAAAATGAGACAAATATACAAAAAACCAGCCACTAAAAATACTGGCATCATTGAATCACTTGACATTAGTAACATGACTTGTTCCTTCAATAAAAACATCTTCAGATGTGTAGATGCAGCTCCTCAGGACATGGTTTAGTGCTCAGTTAATGGCTGAACTCAGTGATCTTAATGGCCTTTCCCAAACTAAACAATTCTATGATTCTATGTAATCCTGCCATCCAGCAGCACTTCACTGATGACACCAAAAACACAGGCAGCATGAAAAATATTCTGCTTCTCTTGGATATCCAACAGATATAAGTGTCTAAAAGTTATGTTCACATAAAGCGTGTCGGCATTAGACTAGGTACCATACAATAGAGAGTGCCTCACCATTTGAGAGGATTGTTTAAGGCCTCTAGCCCATTACTTCCTTCCTCTTCTAAACTGAGTACAGTGATTTCAACATTGATTTGGAGATTGAGCAGTGATTTATTCCATTAACTCTAGAGGGACTATTCATTAATCAAAATACTATGCAATATGTTTACCAGGAAAGGTACCCACAGTGCCTTCTCATATACCTCACCAATCACTATAATACCCCCCTCACCTGCTCAGATACTCAAGACCATGTTTTCTCTACAGGACCAACCAACATCATCTTACACCACTCCAAGAAAGGGCACATAAGCATTTAAGATCGAGTTGTTACCTGCCACAAACATTCACAAATGAAATTATGTTTAAGAGTAATGCTTTACATCGAAATATAATCATCATCAACAGAGTCAATGAGGACCCTTTTCCTGTTTTCTGGACTACTGAAATGGTATTTTTTACAACAAGCAGTGTATTTCCAGTACAAGGTCTACTTACTCCAACAAACTCAATCTCGTCTTCACTTTCAGAATGTGGTAAATCACTCTTGCGAAGACTATCAGAGCTATGATTCTCCATTATCTAAAGAGAAACAAAACATACTATATAATTTCACTCTCTAAGTTTCGTTTAACTATATAGCATTTTCCACTTCACCCCTTCTTTGGCTTTGCAGTGTATCTGTACTCAAAACGTCTCTACCACTCACTCTCAATTATCAGTGACACCAGAATAAGTGGTAAACGACTGTATCTCGAATCACGCCACCGTAATTTTCCAAATACGCAAACCGCGGTTTTATCTACAAAGCACCCCAATACGTACACTCCTCCAGCAGCCATAGCTGTAGTGTGGCAGCCCAAGGACATGCCTGAGCCTGAAACCCCAGCAAGAGCAGAGACCCGAGCTCCAGCCTAGCGGTGCTAAGCCACCGACGAGCCGAGGCCGGCCCCTAAGAGCTGCGGCCGAGCTCGGGCGTTTCTAGCAGCTGCGGCTGCTCTGGCTGCTTCAGGCCGCTCTAGGACCGCGGCAGAGGGCTGAGCTTCCCGCTCCGGAACAGCGGCGGGGGCTGCGGTGCTGACTCACGTTCCCGTACCGCACGGCCCGAGGCACAAGGCTCTGCGGGCTCCGCACGCCGGGCTGCGGCCGCAGGGACAGCGCGGAGCTCCGCGGGGCAGCGCGGCCCGTCCGCCAGGTAAGCGCTGCTCCCCTTCGGGCTCCAGGGGATTATTTCGTTTCATTTCATGCTATGTTATTTTACTGGATTTATTTCCCGATTTTTAAAAAAATTATTTGTTTAGCTTTTTTTTTAATTCCCCCCCCGCCACCGTTTATTTGAATATTTTATTTCTTGATTTTATTGTGCTTTATAATCACTCCCTGCCCCACAGGAGGGGCGCCCCGGACTCAGCCGGGGAGCAGCACCAGCCCCTCCCGGGATGGAGGGGACCCATCCTCCTCCTCCTCCTCCTTCCTCTCCCTACCCGGGCTGGAGATGTCCCGGGGGCTCTGCATGTCCCTGGGGCCGGGGGTGTTTGGGGACTGGAGGTTTTTCCGGCGGGATGAAGCCTGGCTGAGCCGGCAGCTGCCTTCTTGGAGGGGGGAATGGGTTTTTATCCAGGTCCCCAAAGTTGGGGGAAACTCGTGCCGGTGGCCCCGGGGTGGCAGCGGCTCCTCTCCCGCTGCGCCGGGATGGTGCAACATAAATCAGGTTTAATGTGGCGGCTGCGATTGGAACAGCGGGCGGAGGCTGCTCTGCCCCCGCTGAAAGTTGCGTTCGAGTTTGGCAATTTGGGCCATGGGGAATGCAAGGAAAATTGGAAGCTTTGGAAGGGCTTCTGTGGCACAAGGAGAAATCCCTGCAGGGAAGGGAGCCGGGAATGGTTTGGGCTGCCCTTAAGGAGGAATCTCGGCGGTGTCGTGGTACCTCTCACGGTTCAGCTACGGCCGCCTTAACTCCGTGTGTGGGATGTGAACCGGGCAGAGCCGAAGGGTTTGGAGGAGTCAGGATGCTCTGGTCCCGGTTCCTTGCTCAGGTCTCCCTTCGTGTCGTGGATCTCGGGGTGCTCAGGACTCGCCATCTCTCTCCAGTTGTGCTTGCAGTTGGTTAAAAACCTGCTTTGCACCAAAGCCCCCAGCCAGGGCAACAGCAAAGACATTTTTCCTGAGCCAGGGAGGGAAGTTGGACCCGAGCTAAAGCAAATAAACTCGTATTTCATCATGCTGGGGCTGGGTTTCTTTGTGCTCCGCTCTGCTCTGGGCAGTCTGGGCTCCCTCCAGCCCCGGCCAAGCTTCACCTCCAAACGTGCCGAGCAAAGAAACTTCTGCTCCTTCGCGCAAACCCCGCTCCCCGCGGGGGCTGCTCTGTGCTCTGCCTCCCTCGGGCTTTCCTCTGCGTGTTTTTCTCCTCGGTTGCTGCAGGAAGGGGCTTTGCAGGGTTTCTGCTCCAGGCTGAGATGCTGCAGACGTGGGAAGTGTGAGCGTGGCTGCCCTGGCAGGGCCGTGCTGCTGTGCCCAGGGATGTGCCGGCCCCGCGGCCAGCGCTGCTCGGCTCGGGAGGGAAGGGATGCTGCAAAGGAGGGAGAACTCGGGCACTTTGATCCCTGCTGAAAGCAAAAGGTGCTGAGGTGTTTCTCTGCCCGATGCCACTGCTGCAGACCTGGCCAGGTGTGGGCACTGGAGCCCAGCCGTGGCCCAGTGATCACGGGAATGTGCCCGTCCAAAGCAGGAGCTGATTTCAGGGGCGAAGGTGCTGGTTCTCATTGATATGAGACTATAAATGGTCCCAGAGAAACCTTGGGCAGAGTTTTCTCCCTGCTGGAAGAGCCTGTGCAGTCCCAGCAGTGCAGGATGTGTGCAGGAGTGATGAGGAGATGCAGACCAGTGCCATCAAAGACCAGAGATGGGGGAAAAAACATTCAAAATGAAATGATGTCTTGTGCCCTGATGTGCTCTTCCAAAATAAATAAGGGGGGATGTGAGCCTATTGATCCTGTAGCAATGGCCTGGGGGAACCTGTGGCTTCTCTGCAGGGATGCCAGCGCAGAATCTCCTGGTGAGACACAAAATCACTGTCATTCATTAAATGCATTCCATCCTCTTACAAGAAAACAGATTAACTGTAGGTGCCAATGCCTCGAGTGTGTGTGAAATGCTGTTACATCGGGGGAGAGGGAAGATTTTGACACGTTGCACGGGTTCCATCCATTAGTCATAATATTTCCAGCATGCCACACGTGCTCTCACATTTTCTTATAAATGGATGCATGGGAAGCAAATTCAGAGGAGGCACAAGGGAGCGTGGAGAAACTCAGGTAGGTTTTTCCCCTGCAGGACCCTTTGTTGTCCAAGAGGCACCTCCAGCTCCACTCCATTTGAGGCTGGTGGAGATGATGCATTTTATTTTTGATACATTTTTTGGCTTCTTTGTACCAGTCTTCCTGCTTTGGAGGGAGGGAGGATGGAAATGTTGCAATTCCTGTGGAGGGGTTTGACATTTTGTAGCAGATAAAGCCAAATGCAGACAGTTGCTTTGATTTGGCTCCTTTCTGCTGATTTCGAGGATGGGATTCAGGCTGGAGGTGGCGCATACATCTCTCATGTCACAGTGACATCCAGCTCTGGTTTTTCTAGCAGACATACATCTCTGGGAACAGGCTCTTTCCAACTGGTTTTGTGCCCAGAAACTTGAATCAGTTGTATCCAGCAAAAATAAGAAGGTGAGGGAACATCCACTCCCACGTTGCCGACATCAGTTTTTGTGGCAGCTGTGATTTGGCCACTGGGGATCCCAAAAAGGATTTGGGTGAGTTGAAGGCTCACAACTGCTTCCTTCATTTCTTCTATTTCTCTGTCTCCCTAGGGAATGAGGAAAGGGTTTCCAGTCCCATGGCAGCATTTGTTTTCATTCTATCTGTAGCTGGTCCCTGGTGGGTCCTGGAAGCAGCTGCCTGGAAATGGTCAGGCAGAAGTTTCATGGTTCTTGTAGCAGGACCAGAAGAGGTCCTGGTGTCCCTTCACCTGCCTGAGGAGTGGTGGGCACTGCTGGCTGTCAGATGGATGTTTACATCTGCTGACTGCTCCCAGCCAGGCGTGGCTCTTTCCAGATGTGCTGGTTTTTGGATCTGCCAGGGAGGAGGTTCTGGGGTGTCCAGGGGCAGAAGGAGATGGAGCTGCTCTCGGGGCTCTGTGTCACATCCCTGCCCTTTCTGTATTCCCTTGGAAAAAACAGAGTTTTCTATGGAATGTGGCCCAGGGATGCTTTTTCTTTCTGAAGGAGTCTGAACTTGTCCAGTTCAGCTGCAAAGCCCTCAGCTGCTTGCGTGGGCCACTCTCTAAAAACAAAGGCACTTAAAAAACTCTTATTTTCCCAAAAAATAGCTTTTGGTGGTTGTGACTGTCACTGGGTCGCATTCCTGGTGGTTTAATTATGGCTTTGTTCCTATTAGTTGATAAGGCAATGATGATGATAGGAAATTAACAGGAAGTTGTTAAACTAATTAATTAAATTAATAGGAAATGCTAACGAGCATCTGGGGCTGCCAGTGGATGATCTCTGTGATTTCCCCAGCTTTGCTGGGGAGCTGGGGGACACAGTTTGGCCATGTGGCTCCACAAAGGGACAATTTGCCGGCCAGCCAAGTGCCCGGCATGGCGAGGGGAGCATTGAGCTCCCAGCAGGAGCTGGCAGCAAAGCCAGGCTCGCTTTCCACTCATCTGTCTGGGAGGTGGGAGTGTGTCCAGAGCAGGGGAAACTCCTTATTCCTGAAATGCAGCAGAAGGAGGAAGTGCTGGCAGCAATGTAGAGGGGCTGGAAGGAGGCAAAGAGGGTAATGAAAATCACTCATCAGCCCTGATGTATCTCCAGCATGGCTTAGGAACAGATCCACCTTCAGATGGTATCAAAATGGTAAAGAATCCAATGTTCCTGGCTGCCTTGAGTGACACTGTCCTCATGTGCTGTGGTCCTGTCCCAGACTTTCACTGGCTCTGGCCTTGGTTTGCCAATCTTGAGATTTTCTCCAACCAAAAATCAGAAAACTCTGAAAATTTCAAACAAAAGCCCAAGCAATTCTTTCTCTCGCAGCTTTCATTTCACAGTTCACCTTCCCTTCTGACTGTAATTCCTGCTGGGGTTTCTGGCTTCCTAGAGAAAGGGTAAAAAAGAAAAAAGAAAGCAGGCATTTAATAATAGATCAAAAATGAGATTACGCAGTAAGTCAGCCCTCCCCTCCCCAAAATGCAACCAAAGAAATTGCAAATCACCTTGAAAACCGAAAGGAAAACAGTGTAGATCAAACCTGATGTTAAGTATGGATGAGGTGTTTATATTTTATTTAATGGCTGTGTGCTGTCCTAGAACAGCCACCCTCCCCTGAATTTCTGTTTGTGATTAATTAAACACTAAAGATGAACTGGGATGGGGAAAATTCAGTGGACCTCCAAACGGGAATGCAGGGGGGCACAGGCTGGCACACCTGGAGACAGGCACAGCTGCTGGTGGCTGTAGTTGGAGGTAGCTCCCAAAAACCTGGAGGTTTAATGAGAGGCTCCTTGTTGTCCATTCCTGGTGACTCTGGATCCGTTCTGACCGTGTTTGGTGGAGCGGTGGGGTCACTGTGGGAAGGGAACCAAAAGAGCCAAAAGAGTGGGTGCCAGCAGAAGTGCCCTGATGGAGTGAAGAAGTGATTATTAGTCATGGGTAATTAGTCACCAGCCAGGCTGCCCTGGGAAGCTGGGCAAGCCCCAGCCTGGGCCAGCGCTCAGCCAAGGCTTGATGAGACACGACTTCCCTGGAAAGGAGGCTTAGCCCTGGCGCTGGGCATCGAGGCTGTCAACCCCGGGCCCGCTCTTGTTTGCTGTAAATCCTCCGGCTCACTCAGGGTTTGGGTTTGGTGGGGTGTTACCACAGGCCACGTGGGAGGGTGGGAGGTGGGATGTGGGGAATGTCTCCTCCTGGATGATCCCAGAGGTCTCCAGAGCCAGTGTGGATGTTGTGTATGCCGGGTGTGTGGGCTCCAGAAGCCTGGCTGGGAGGAGGAGCAGGGGCAGGTTCTGCCTCTTGCTCAGTGTCTCCACCAGACAGCAGAGGACCTCCAGCATGACCCCTCTGAGGTCCTGTTTGCACCCTTGATGAGTAAAGTATCAAGAGGGACACAAGGCATGGAGAGTCCTCTCCCAAGTTATCCTTGTCCAGCATGGATAACCCAACCTGGGTCATGCTGTGGGGATGAACCTCCACACAAAACCATGTCAGAGGGGCTTGGAGCAACCTGGTCTGGTGAAAGGTGTCTCTGTCCATGGCAGGGGGCTGGAATGGGATGGACTTTCATGTTCTCTTCCAGCACAAGCCACTACATGTTTGTTTGATTCTATAAAACACAGCTGTAGATATTTTTTTCTTGTTAAATCACTTACTTTTAAGCACAGGAGGTGTCACAGCCCCTCTCTGTGAGGAGAGGAGGCTGAGGAGCCACATCCATCACAGCTCTGGTGGTGAAGGCAGGGTAAGAAGAGTTTATCTTCTCTGTCACCTTCTTGGTCTCAGCTTTCTATTTGTAGAGTTGGAGAAGAATCTCTTTCATTACCTGCTGGGATGCTGCTCTTCTTGTTTATTCCCCAGAAGGCAAGAGAATTAGATGTGCCAAAGCTCAAACTTTAGAAAAATAAATAAATCCAGACTTTGGAAGCAACCACTTGGAAGCAGAATGATCCTTGGCACGAAAATGTTTGTCTTCCACCTTTTTCTGAGACTGGCTGGAGCTAAAATGCAGGGAGAAGACGGGGCAAGGTTTATTTTCTTATAATTTCAAATATATTCTGAAAGCTGAGCAGTTGGAATTCCCTTTTTTCCTTGAAGTTGCTTTGCCAGGTTTGGGTGGAGGAAACCAGCTGAAAGCCTTTCCTTGGTGGATGCGGGATGGAGGCAGGAACACGTTTATTTTCCTTATTTACCTATTTTTGCCGGTGAGGCCCTAAGGCAAACAGCAAAGCCACGGCATACAGGCAACAGGAGCGCTTTCCTCTCCCAATCCCTTTTCCCAGCACCAACAAGACCAGCAGCGGAGACACGCAATTGAGTCAGCAATGCAGATGCCATCAAATGTCTGCTTTATTCCAGAGCATGAATCAGAGCAGCGTCACAGCCTCGTATCCTGCATCTCCTGATAAGAGTGCAGTTACCTCTGAGGGAACGAAACACAGAGAAATCACATTATCCTGCCTCTTGCAAGCACCCAGAACTCACTGGGACCAGCAGTGCTTGTTTTAATGCAACTTCTGCTGTAGCACGTGCAGACTGTTATTCTTTAAAATCCCACATCCCGGAGCCAAAAGATGTTTTATCATTTGTTAATGTGTGACCAGCGTGGCTATATGTACATATGTATGCACGTGAATATATAAATATGAGTGTTTTCTGGAGCACAAGCTGCTTGTGCTAAGCCCTGTTAAACCAGTAAGAGCAGTGTATGTCACCAGTCCAGGTGCTGGTTGCTCAGTCTAGGTGTTTTTCCAGTGTATGGTATCCTTGGAGAAAAAATGGGTTAACTTCATTTAACTCTCCAACCATGCTCTTACCTCCAAAATCATCTTAATTTCCAGGCTTAAAGTCTTTCCCTTTCAGTTTGCTGTGGGAATCACATGAGGAAGTGAAACCCTTTATCCCCAGAAATTCTCTGCTTCTCCCTTGCAGGACTTTTCTGTGCCCAGCTCCGTTTCCTGCTGTTGTTCCATGGGGACAGCTTCTGGCTCCCTCCACAAGGGTTACGTGTGGTCACTGGCTTTTGCATCAGTTGCCTCTTTTCTCCTGGTTCCAGGGCACCAGCTCTGTCCTGTTCCTGCTGCGGTCCCCATCCTGCACCCGGCCTGAAAAGCCTCAGTGGGATGGCAGGAGGCCTGCACTAGTGCAGTTTACATCCCCTAAAAGCAGACACAACAGTGAAATTTTGCTAAAATCTGTCTGTATTGCCCCCAGGGGATGTGTAGAGCTGTTTAAAAGACATTTATGCCACTGTGGTGCTGGTGGAGGCAGAGCAAGACAATTTTCACCTCAGATCCCTCTTTTGAGGGGCTTGTTTGTTCTTTGGGGTTTTTCTGCACCAGAGACTACAGAAGTTGAGGGGATTAAAAGCACTTCTGTGGTTTCCCATCTGTTGATTTGAGGGAAAATTAGTTCAAATCCACCACCCTCAGCTACATCATAAATCTCACTGCAGAAATACGGAGCCTAGACATTAATAATTAGGAGCTTGCACAATAAAAGACTGAAATATTTCACAAATGACACACCATCTTTTGGTCCAGCTGATGCTGGGCAGAGATCTGTGTGAAAGTTCTGTGCAGCCAAGGTGCAGAAGTTCTTGCTCCCATTTTTGCCTCCCAAAGTAGAAGAAAATGGGAAGGAAAAATCAGGTTGCGTCCCCAAAGCGTTCACTAAAGCTCAAGTATGGGAGTTTTAAGGTTTCCCCCTATTAGGAAGTGTTTGTATGTGCTGAAAGAAAATGATGCCAATTAATAGTTATCTTTTCCCAGCTTCCCACGTCTTGAAATCGCTCCAGTTCAGCCAAGCTGCTTCCTATCAGACTTTCACAGAAAAAAGGAAGAATCTGCTGGGCTGTGACTGAACATGAGCAATGTCACTCCCCAGGGGTCTGTGTCCCAGAGGTTTGAGGGCTGCAGGAAAAGGGCTGTGGGCCGTGAGATGACAAATGGAACTCCACAGTTGCTCGTTCATGCTCCAGCAAAGTTTTGTTTTGGGTTGTAGATATTTCCCAGCCACGAAGCTGAAATCTCAGCAGCTCTGATGTGAATATTCTTCACCTTTTTTTGTTAATGTAGTTTGAAGTAATTGGAGGGCTGGTGGTATTTTGAACAATTTATCCACCTGGGAAATGATGACCTTCGATTTATTCAATCAAATATTATCAAGATTAAGAGTGAAAATAGCTGAGCTTGTCAGTCACAAGGAATTGTCTTGCAGCCTGGGCTCGAATCCATCACCTGAAACCAGGAGACTCTGGCAGGATATTCTTCATTCATCAGCAAGAGGCATCGCAGCAAGATCATTTAACTGTAATTCATCAATTTATCAGGCTACTCAATTAAGTGGGGGCTGGAGAGAGGATAAAGGGAATGATTCTGTCTGTTGTAATGAATCTTTGACCACCTGAGGACTTTTCTTGCTCCTTGCTCTTTTGTATTTTGTGTTGCCTCGAAGACCTTGTTAGAGGAAAACAATCACGACGGTGGTGCAAAGGGAGGCTTAAAGAATTAAAAGGATTGATGGCTTAGAGCTTTTGCTCTACCTGGGTTGTCACTGGCCTGGGCCTGACAACCATGATCTGAAGAAACCCTGGAGAATCTCAGCTGGACTTATGGAAGAACGTGACTGCAGTGAAACTTTGTGCAGCCTGGATTAAAGGGATGGACCTCTAGGTCCATCTCAGCTGTGTTCTTCCTGTGTCTGTGGTGCAACCCCAAGCTCTTTGGTGAAGGGTTTGGGAGTGTGGTACAACTTCTGAGTGCTGTGAGGGGTCCTGGCTGGCATCAACTGCCCTGGGACATTGGCAGTGTCATTCTGGTGCAGGCTGATGCCAAGAAGCTGGGCTGGGGGGGTTCCTTTAAATGAGCCCAAATTTCACCCAATCCCCCTGTATGTTTGTGCCACACCAACAGCTTCTGAACCTGCCAGCCTGTTTCAGGTAAGCCCGACAGAGAGACACTGTGCTGGAGGGTAGTGAAGGTTGTGTAAGCTCATGAAAAACAGGCAGCAAGGCATGAGGGCTAGCCCAGGTACTCACAGAGCCTCGGGGAGGGGTGGAGCTCCAGCTGCTGCGTGAGCGGTACCAGTCAGCCCCGAGGAGGCAGCGAGATCTTCCAGCTGTTCCATGGGATCCGTCAGCGGGGGCCCTGAGCTGCCCTGGCACACCTCAGGCCCGTGGATGCCCATCTCTATTTGCAATAAAACTGGTTTTCAGTTGAAATGCAGTGGCAGTTTGGGCAAAAGTAGCCCGGAGTGAGGTGTAGCTGCTCGTCTGCTTTCTGCAGAAACACAGGAAAAGGCTTTTGAGCAAGTCCAAGAGCTCCAGGTCAGGAAAGCATTTCCTCCTACCTGGCTTTCTCACGTGTCCTGTTGTTTTCTTTCAACAAAAGCAATAGAAAGGGAGAATTCATTTGAATTTAATGCTAAAAAATCTCCAAAAAGATGAAGCAAAAGGAACTGTTAGAAAGAGGGGTAGGTGGAGATTAAAACCACTTTTTCTCTCTCGCTGTCCCTCGCACACACGTTATACATATATGCAGCCTGATCTTGTGCTATACAGGAAAATAAATTGTAAAGGAGACAATACAAATCAGGATGAAAGGGGAGAAAAAAAAAGAGGATTAGTCAGGTCTGCTCTGCTTATCTGAACCGAGGGGGAGCCTGCCTGGTGCTCCTGACAGATTTTTTAAGGAAAGATAATGCTTTGGGTTGATGACAGTTTATGAGATAGACTTGGAGGGGTATGAAAATTGCTGGTAGGTACTTGAATGGCTCTGACTGCACGGAGTGAATTGGAGTTGAGTCGCAACAATTTCCCTAAAGCTGTGCAGATTAACATAAAAATACCAAGGAAGTCCAATCTTTGAATTTTTATCTGCTTCAGTTTGAGAGAGTCAAATAGGGGCATTACAGAAGTGCCATCCATTTGAATCGATTGTTGCTGCAGCTTTTGTGGAAAGGCTGCATCTGGGTTTATTGATAACGTTGTTGAGGTGCTTAGAAACACAAGTGTCTCGGGTTTATTTTCCCTTTGGTAACTTATTCCTGTTTGTGGCATTTTGTTAAGGTATTTTTTAGTTCTGGTCTCCTCTGGAGATCTCTGCTGAGCTGAGCATTGGTAACAGAGATGTTACCACCTGTGAATCTTTTCTACAAGAGTTTGCCGTAAACCTGGATCTATTTCAAAGCTTTCTTGTAAATTTTAAGGTAATTTTACTTGCTGGAGGAAAAACTGAAATGAAGAATAGAATCTAGGAATTGTGATTTACCAACCTTTTAGTGAGGAGGCTTAGCTAGGTGCTTCTTTATCTTGGTTAAACCATATCAGCTGAAATTCAAGTTTAGTGGCCAAAACTTCCTGCTGATCTCCATTGTAGCATCACTTCACCCATTTTACTTCCTCTGCTGCTCCCTGCCTGCAAGGAGAAGATATAAAATCAGTCTCACACGTTAAAGAAGTAGCTTTTTATCTGAAGTTTCAGGTTTGGGGAATAGTGTTTTAGGTTGTAGATGTGTCCTGCTGTCGAAGAAACACAAGGGAAATTCCACCTACTGAGGGGGCTGTGTCACTGGAAACCTTGTGCTCCTCTGGTTTAAAAAATTGCTTTTTAGGAGCTGTGGCCAGTGACTTCACCATTTTGCCTTTGTTCTCATCTTTATAAAACTAAGGAGGTGGTTGTGAGAATTTGTCATTGGGTTTAGAGCTCTTTGGAGATGAAAAGTGGTGGATAACAGCTCCATGTGTATTAATGCCATAGATTCATGCGATGAGCGTGTTTCACAGCTGAGTTGCAAAGCCCAGCAGGTTGCAGTGGGCTTTACTTCACTGATCTGCCCCAGCTGTGCCAGCTGTGCCACCCCCATCACCTGGGCACCACAGCTGATCCATGGGCTGCAGCAGGGAGCCTTCCCCCTCCACACTCCCCCAGCGCTTCCACCGGCCTCCTGCCGCAGCGCACGCCAAGTTTAAATCTGGTTCTGTGTTTCTGGCTTCCTTCCTTCAAAATGTTTTCAATTTTCTTGGCTTCAACCGATCCCAGTGGCATCGTTTTATGATGCACTTTATTCTACAGCTTCAAGTGCAATAACACTTCTAAAGTTGAGCCTATTTTTAATTACCAGAAAAAAAAAAAAAGGCAGAGCATAGTATTGTTCTGTCACTGGTAGTGGGAGAGAGGGAGGATTTTTCTTCATCTTTAAATTTGATTGAATTTAAATCTCGACATACGTAGTGGTTTTAGTGGAACTTTGCTGTAATTGGAAGGGCAAATGGTTGTTTGCTCTTGCACTCTTGGGAGCCAATACTGGTATTGACTGAATGAAAGCATTGCCAGTGCTGGGGATTTATGGGGAGGGAAAAAAGGGATGGGAGGAGGATAGTGGCTGTGTTTGGGTTGTGTGAGTGTCCTCTCCTTGGCAGGTGGGTCAAAGAAAATGTTTATGAAGTGTTTTTGGCCACTTTTCATTTTACTTGTGCATCAGCTCTTCCTTTGCATGAGAATAGGAATTAATTTTGTTTCAAGTTCTGGAAACCTGAAGACATGCTGAATAGGTAGAAATTTGTTCTATTTATAGGCTGCAGAATTTCTTTGTACAATAAACCAGTTTGTTTTAATTTAAACTATGTATTCAGCACATTTAGCTTAATTTTATTTAACTACAAGTTTGACGTCCTTTTCATTGTTTTTTAAATTTGTGACATAAACCCAAAGTACAATGAAAAAGTCAGACTAGTCATTAAGAAACTTCATTTACCATTTCAAACATCAAATGTGTTGACTTGCATAGTTTATTAATTTTTACAAATGCCCAAATGTAAAAATAGGACATCTTTGCAGTTCAGGCAAAAGCTTGATTTATGGAGAAATGTGCCTTTGTTCTCCACCAGCAAAAATCAGCCTTTCACTAAAGGAAAAAAAAAAACAAACAACCCAAAAAATGCAAAGCAAGAGGGTTTAAATCAAACAGAATTGAAGTATTTTGCTCCTGTTTTGCATGAATAAATCCTGTATTAAAGGCAGGATGGTTGAAGAAGGATTGGCAGGCAAGTTAGCAATAGTGTTCCTCACAGGCTGGTCTCAAGCCTGGTCTTAATCAGGGTATTGACTAACGATGGAGCAGAAATTAATGAGATTTGGAGGTGTCATCAAAAGAGGAAAACCAGCAGATCCCAGGAGAAGAATGACTGACTTTGGGACCATTTGTCTGTAAGCAAATGTGAGTTCTTGTAATGCAAACTCTGACAGAAAGCTGGGGGTTCTGTGTGGGAATTGGGATGTATTAATCAACCATGGGATAATTCTGATGTCCTGATGATAAAGGTAGATTCAGGGATCACATTTGTCAACTGAATTATTCCCACTGGTGACAAAGGAATGTGAATGCCACTGCAACAGGTTTTAGTGAGGCAATGCTTAAAATGCATTCTGCATTCCTTGTCCATAGGAGAAAGATTGATTCCAGCTGGAAAAGGTGCAGCGGAGGGCATCTGCTAGAAATGATCTGGAGAACAGGGAATCCTGCTCCCTAAATGATTAAAGGGACCTGGATGGTGAGGTGGTGACAAAAAAATGGCAGAGAAAAATTAGATTCCTTCTCTGCAAATAGCAGAGAGGGAGAAGAGTTCTTTAAGTTAAATGACAATTCTGGCACAAGAACAAAAGGCTCTGAAAAAGTTTAGGCTGGAAAAGAGCAGAATAGCTTCAAACCAAGGGAGGTGCTTGAAGAGCCTTCTAATGGGAATTATGTAAAGGGCTAAAAACCCGATTGCTGTGAAGATGGAGCCTGATAAATGTATTAATGGGATTATTCAATGTGGTTGGCTTCAGAATTAAGGGATCAGACTCTAGATTTCCGGCCCTGCGTTTTTGCAGGTACACTTAAGAGTCCTGCAGGTATGAGAAAAAACATGGAAGGTTGACATTTTAAGAACTATTTTCACTCTGATTCAGCTTGGAGTGGGTTTTGCTGTTTTGAATGCACTAATAATTGAATTGGGTGAGCTGTGGAAAGGAGCAAGTACCTTCTGAGTTGGGAAGAAGAAGCTGCCACCTGCTTTCTTATTTTAGCGGTCGGTTTTGGCGGCAGGCCTGAGCTACACAGATATATATTTTTTAAAATTTAAAGCCTTTTGTATAGTAAAGTTAGGACTTGAAATAGATTGTGCTCAAAACAGTGACAATTATTTATTGTTATTTATCATTGCAAGGTGCTTTTTTAAAAACCTGCAGCACTTAAGACACACGAGTGTTTATTATCGATCCCGGCGTTCTCGTTATCGATCCCCGTTTTCCCCATTTACAAATAGTCCCCAGATTTCTGGTTGCTTTACTAAAATCCCAGTAAATAAGACAGAGTGCCTTTTTGTCAGCAGGCCATGGTTATTTTATCAAAGACGGCTGTTTTAGCACGGTGTAACTTTGATTTCACGGGCATTTTGTGCTCAGGATTTCCATGCTTTTTATGTTTTGATTCAGCCTCAGTTCTCCAGCCTTGTCTGCCATTGAGAGCTGAGTCTTCCTCACCTTAGAATATCCTTAGGGAAGTTCTGCCTGGAGGTCTCCATGATCCCAGAGGGACACAGGGGATGCCTGTGGTTACAGGAGAACTTCAGATGCTCATTCAGACACGGCTGGGATGTCAGAGCTCACCCTTCCTTCAGCCCCACACTCTTTCACCCAACGGCAGCATCTCTATTCAGCCTGGGGGCTTGGCCCTGACTATCTCCAATCTCCAGCGTGTTCTCCTCGCTTCCCACGTGTGCTTCTTATTCACTTTTTCTATTCAGGATGCAAATGGCAGATGGTTTTTCTTTTTTTTTTGGTTTCAAGGTCTTCTCATCTGAGCCTTTCAGCCATTCAGCCTCTCAAACTGGTTCGCTTAATTACCTCAACTTTTTGAAACTGAAAACCTCGCAGACCTGCTTTCATTTTGCTTAAACCGAGTCAATTTGTGGAAAACAGGCTTGAATTGAGTGATCACAAGTGGCTTTTATTACAGCATCCTCACTATTTGCCAAAAGTCTCCCACAGAATCACCTCTCGTTTGCTCAGTGCCTGTTTTGTTCTGAGGTCTGTTGGCTCTTACATCCCGGACTTACAGAGCCCCACTGTTGCTATTTGTTCTTCCTTCTAGATCAGGAATTTAAGACTCCCTTATCAGCCAGTTCCTCAGAGTATTTCTTTTTCTCTCTAGCCATTTTTAAAAGCTCTCTGCACACATCCAAGCTCGATGGTGGGGTCTCCAGCGGACCTCTAGCACAATCCCAGCAGACAGCCTTTTACAGCCTTTTCCCAAAGTGACTCTAATCCAGAACGATCGTTTTATGCCTGCTATCGCTTTGGATTTTTAGCAAACACAGATGATTCACTCAGTTCACAGAAAGAACTGTGGAACAACGTCCCAAAAGATTATTTAAATGGAGTTTTGGGAGTGGATTTGGGGTGACCATGGGTAGTGTGCAGGCTCCAGGTCTGACTTTGGTGTGGGGCTTTGAGGGTGGGTGTATTCCCCAGCCACCTGCAGACATGTTTCTCAGCTGCCTTTACTACAGGATGATGAACATTTCTAACAGATTGTTTTCCTGACAAGGAAGAATTATCCCTGGTTTACACTATGGGAGCTGAACCTGGGGAGAAATGGAACAGCTGCCTTAAACACACAGGTCTGTGAGAGCAGAGTCTGCTCTCCCCCAGTTGTTTCAAGCACTCTCAGCAATCTGGCAGCTTGTCAAGGCCCCTCAAATTGTGTGGACTCGAGGGTGAGCTGAAGTGCTGGAGCATCACAGCCTCAAATCTGGTAGCCTGGTGCAACAAAGCACGTGCTGAAAATGATGCTTTTGTACTTTACCCAACTGCTTGCTTTGCAGTCACTTTTAATTTAAGTTTAGACAGTGTTGAGCTCTTAATTAATAAAAAAAAAGTGCTTTTGGTAGACAAGAGTGTAATGCCCTGAGCCGTGCCATGGTTACAATATGTAGTGTTTGGGGATTATGTTATAGACAAGCAAAACGATTGTTTCTTTTTAACTTCTGTTTAAATATGGTTCAAATGATGGAATATTTAGTAGAGCAGAATAAGCTGATGCCTGCCAGCTTTTTCATACCAGTGGTTACCAGATGTGTCTGCATTTAGAACCCCACCATCTGTTCCAGGGTGGAGCTTGGGGCTAGTCAAGGTATTTGGATGTGTCTTCTTCCTTGGGTATCTCTGGAAAACTTCAAAGCATCTGTGCTGAGATGAAGGGGAAGCAGGGTTAGCTGTAATACTCCAAGAATTCAAGGGAATTTTCCAGAAATGCAGCAGGGCTTGGAAGGGGAAGGAGCCTTGGGGAGAGAGGCAGTGCTGGTATTTTGTGCCGTTGTTCAGCCGTTGCCAAGAGCCAGGCAGAGTTTTGCTTGGCTGTCACCAGGCTGGGCTGCTGCTTCCTGCTTTGGATTCCATCTTTCTTAAGAGTCCATGGAATTTCCAGGAGCATTGTAATATGGAAGTTTCTTAATGGGATTTTAGAAATTATTTCTGTAGATAAGTTCTATTTAGATAATTTCTTTTGATGCTGAATTGGTGCAGAATTACTGTGAGCTGTTACAGAGCAAAGGGAGAGAAACCTGCTCTGCCTTTACCCTCTCCCACCACATCCAGTTCCACCAAAACCAGGAGTGACCCATCCCAATGAAATTAATTTTTGGTTATTTTGGGGATGGGGAAAAACATATTTTGATCAACAAACTACTTTTGAAAAAGACTCACCTAGTAATGGTAACAGCCTTTGGTTGACAGTGATCTAAAAGGAAGGAAAGCTGCACATGCCTGTATCCATCCAGTATCTCATGGTTTATTTGTCACCACTGTCTTCATCTCTCAGAACTTAAATAATTGTTGTTGCAATAGGAAAATGAACCTTTCAGAAAGCTTCTTGTGAAGAAAAGAAGTCAGAGTGGTTATGAATGGTTTTATAAACAAATCATTGTGGTAATGGGGTTGGAACAAGATGATTTTTAAGGTCCCTTCCAACCCATACTACTGTGTGATTCTGTGATAATACAGTAATTTAATTAATTTATCCAGAATGTTTGTCCCTAATCAAGCATGTGGCAATGTAATTCGACATACTCGGAGTGTGATCCATAATATTCCACCCCAAACAAAACCTTCTGCTCCATTTCTCACCCAATGATTTTTCTTTTACAAAGGCAGGTAAAACGAAACCAGTAACTGCGCCCTCATTAACAAGGGAACAGGCTTCTCTTTTCCTCATCCCATTTAAGCACCAGGCAGTGTCCTCCAGCATCTTGCCAAAAGCTTCCACTACTTTTATAAGCTTATTTTCTTTTGCTATCAGGAACTGGTTCCTCTGTGCAGGATGCTGGCAGTCCATTGTGTTTGCTCTTTGGATCCCAGCTGGGGCTGCAGTAGGTCCAAAGCAGAATTAGGATTTGGGAGGGAAGGGTCTGTGTGTCCATTCCTGTGCTGACATTTCCATTCCTGGGTGTTTCATTTCATGTTCCAGCCCTTGCCATGCTTTATGGCAAGTGGGGTTTATTGTTACAATACTCCTTGTGCCCATGGGGTCTTCAAAGGGCTTTATTTAACTCTGCTGAGATGCCTTTACCTACCACTGAAATGCAGCTACTTAAGCTACAAAGCCTGGCAGCTGCTCCAACAGCAGGAGCACGACCAGGCCACTGCTTTTATGTCATAAAATAAGAGAAGAAAAAAATTTCCATATCCATTAAAAAACTGCAGGGAAAATGTAAATTGTCAGAATATAATTACCTAAACTGGAGTTTGGCCAGCATTCCAGATTAACATTTCCTCTCGTGAAGCCGTGGGATACCTGATGGCCGAAAGCAGTCAGAGTCTCAGCAGGATTAAAAACTGAGCTTTGCTGTGTGGTTGTTCCATAGTGGCTGAGAGATGTAGATAATCTATTTAGCACCTACAGCACCCTGGGGCTAAAAAGTGGCTGAATCCTATGAAATCCGATAGGAGTGTCTGAGGTTAAGAGTGCGGTCTGAAAACATTCCATGGAACTTGTAAAATCCGCAGACGGTCCGACCTTGGTACCCTCTCCTGTGGAAGGGAGGAGAAAGAGATTAAAAGAGATGTACCAAAAGGATCGCAGCAGGGAAAAGATGGAAGCTCAGCGCCCTCCCCGCCGTCGTGGCTCCATGTTTTTCTGAGGTTTATTTCAGGCCGTGGAAGTGTGCCATGGAAATGTGCATTAGCTGGCTCTGAAACTCCTTAATACCTGTTTGCAATGACTCAATGTAATTTAGAGCAGATTGGAGACACCAGGATGCAAGGCATGCTCAGGAGGAGGTGGGATGAGGAAGAAGGAATGTGGTGCAGGTAAGGAAAAGAGGGGAAGTGGGGACCACTTAGGTGGAGAGGATGTCAAGGTGTGATGGCATTCACTGTGTTCAGCTGCAGCTGCCAAGTGTAGGGTAACTTGAAAGGTAATAAATAAAAAGGAGATTCCCAGCCTGAAATGATTCAGAGGTGTCTAAAGAAGTTCTGTGAGCAGAATCCCACATAGGCTTGGGTTAAAAGGGACCTTAAAACTCTTCCAGTCCCACCCCCTGCCATGGGCAGGGACACCTTCCACTATCCCAGTTTGCACCACCCCCATCCAGCCTGGCCTTGGACACTTCCAGGGATTATGGGGCAGCCACAGCGTCTCTGGGAATTCTATTCCAGGGCCTTACCACCCTCACAGGGAAGAATTTCTTCCTACAGGTTGAACAGAAGGCCAAGCTCTAAACTGTAGCTGCTTTTTAGGTGGCTTTGCTTTACATCCGCACGTTTCCCTACAGCAGGATTAGTGGTTTTAGTCCTCTGCCCTGTCAGCTTCCACTCAAGGTCATCCTGGATTTTCCAAGTCTCTAACAGGACTGGCAGTCCTGTTCCTTTGGGAAAACAGGTTTGGAAGCTGATAGGAGTAAAAGGCTTTTCCTTGCCAGGAAAGTGTCGAGCAACTTTATCGGCAACTTATTTTCTTGTTTAAATAATTATTAATCACAGGTTACAGACCCTGCCCTTTAGGATCCGTTTCTGATGTGGAAATTTTACATGTATATGAGAAAATAAAAGCCCAGAATGGCAGAAAATGTGAGAAATTAGTGTATTTGAATACAGTAATTTTTCTTTTGGGATGAGGAGAAGGCAGCGGAATAGTGGATTTTTTACTTGGTAGAAGGGAAGTTGAAAACTACTCTTTAAAACCAATTCCTGTTAGAGGAAGAAGGGGAAACAGCAGATTAAATCTGAAGGTATCTTTGTCAATATAATCTGTAATAGCCTTGACATTGCTTCCTGAAAGGGAGACTTGCCAGACCGGCTGCTGATCCTGACAGCTTCTTTTCTTTTGGGAGCTGGGAGAAGAATTGTTCTCCGGAGTTGTCCCTGAAGTGAACATTTTCCATTGGTGTTTCTTCCTCATTGAGGACCTGAAGGGATTGATTGTCTCACTATTTCCTCCCGCAGAGCTCCAGGTACACCAGGGTGGAATACAAAACCCCGAGCCGTGGCACAGTGGGAACAGATGTGTGTGGTAGGACAACGTGGGTATGTTCAGTGATTCGAATGTTAATTTTGTCTTTATACTGTGCCACAGTCATAGTCTTTTTTTTTGAAATTTTTGTCCTGATAAAATATAAAAAGTATTGTTTCTCCGAGCCTTTGAACCTGCAGTACCTATTCCTGCCCTTCCATACAGCACGTTCCCTGCGGCGAGATTGGATTTTGTATCCCTTATCAAAGGGCAGACCTGTGCCCCTGCCTCACCTCTTGCTGGTTTTTCATCTCAGAATAAAAGTTAGTTTTTCCTTGCATTCTTTACACGTGTGTAAATGACTGCTAAAAAGTGCAGAGCGATGGAAAAGTGGTTTTTCGCCGTTTTGAAGTGCTCATGTTTTATTAAAGCTGAGATTCCTTTGTGGCCAGAAACACATCACCCTTTTTACTCCTGGAGATAAACCCCCATTTCTTCCTGTGAAAGACTATTTCTCCCAAAGTTGTCATTTTGTGTTTTGGTGTGGGATTTGATTGCCATAGATACAAATGCCTTTCATTGAGGTCCTAAAATAGAAAATTAGAATGCATAAACAGAGGGCTGGACCTGTGTGATGTGGTTTTGTTGTGAGAAGATGCTGGCACTGTTACTTGCCTTTCCCCCCCAACCTTTATTTCTTCATTGCTTTTTTTCCCTGCTTTTGCTTCACTTACCATCTGTTGCATGCTATGTTCGGTACTTGTCGCTGATTTCTACATGGCTCCTCTGACTTCAGAACATTTAACGACTGATGCTGTTCACATCAACCCTCCAGCGTGGATCTGAATGCTATATTGTAACAAACTCCAAACCATTGTGGTCTTTTAGTATCTGCAGATCAGTTTCCGACAACACAGTTGTTTTCCTGACTCCTTTTGCAGGCACCTGGACGTCTCTCAGGGGGTCAGTGGCAACCATTGTGTCCACATCACTTCAGGGCTGAGGCATGATGGAGCTCCATGGGGGCATCGACATGGGCTTCTTGGGGGATACACATCACTGCATGTACTGACTGAGCTCCAGGGGGACACTCTGCCGGGGTTTTAGGGGGACACAAAGCGCTGCTTGCCCATGGGGCCGGGCTGCGGCTGTCCCTTCGAAGCAGCATTGTACACTGACAACATGGCGGCTCCTCCATGAGGGGAGCGGAGGGTGTGAAGGACGGGCTGCGCGCGCCTGCCTTTTAGGCGGGAAAACGCGCCCGGGCGCGGCGCGCGTGCGCAGCGGCGACAGCCGAGCTGGGGGAAGCTTCGGCTGTTCCCGTCAGGTTCCGGAGGCGAGAGTCTCGCTGCTCTCCGCCCTCAACCCTTCGGGAATCTCCGCCCCCGCTTCGCCTATCTCCGCCCCCGCTTCGGATATCTCCGCCCTCCTTCGTTAAGTTCCGCCAGCACTTCGGCAACTTCCGCCGGTTCGGTCGGAAATGGCCGAAGACGTGCGAGACCCAGCGGTTTAAGGGGAGAAGATCGGCCGGCTTCTCGGAATAAACCAACTGTGTCCGGCTCGTGGGGGGGGGAGCAGGGGAGGGCGGACGGNGCTACCGCGGCAGCACCATGGCGCGGCCCCCCGGCCGGCGCTCCGGCCTCTCTCCTTCTTTTGGGCTCTCTCCTTCTTCCGGCCTCCCCTCGGCCGCCTTCAACTCGATGTCGGGCTGCATCGAGTTCCGGCTCGGCCGGGGAAAACCCGCACGCCCCTTCCGGGGAGGAGGAAGAGAAGGAGGAGGAAGGGCGGCTATTGGGGCTGGGAGCGGAGGGGAGGGAAGGCGGCAAAATCGTCAGTTTGGTTAAGCCTAATTTCCCCTTGATAAAGCCATACTGATAACGCAATGATTTTTTTGTCACTGAGAGGCCTGGAAATAGTTATTGGGATTGGACTTCATTAGTTTCCCGGGAATCAGGATGAGGCTGACGGGCCTGTGGTTCTTCCTGCCTTCCTCCTTCTGCCCTTCTTGAAGTTTGAGATGGCATTTTCTTTCCTCCAGCCCCAGGCACCAGCACCAGACACCATGGATCCACAAAAGATAATTGAGAGTGATCTCACCATGACATCCATCAGTGCCCTCAGTACCTGTTGGTGCATCCTGCCAGGGCCCATAGACTTAGCATGCATGTGTCCAGCTTGGTAATGTATTTATTCCCTGGCTTGATCCTCTCCCACAAGGGTACGCCTTCCTTGGCCCAGCCTTTCCTCCTGATTTTTGGGAACCTGAATTCCTAGAGGCTGATCTTGGTAGTGAAGACTGAGGCATGTGCTGTGTCACTGTCATCTGTCTCATTTAGCAATGGGCCTACATTTTCCTTAGTCTTCTTTTGTCACCTAGGACTTACAGAAACCATACTTCTTGTCTTTGACATCCCTAGCTAGACCCAATTTCAGTCATGCTTTAGCTTTCCTAACTTCATCACTGTATGCTTGAACAATGTTTCTCTGTTTCTCTGAGGTAAGCCATCCTTCCTTCCATGCTTTGTGTGCCTCCTGTCTGTGCTAGAGTTTGACCAGTTTGATTCTTTGTTCATCTATGCAGGCCTTGTGGCATTTTTGCCTAACTTCCTATTCAGAGGGATGAACTGTTCCTGAGCTTGGAGGAAGTGATCCTTAAATACTAACCAGCTTTCTTGAGCCCCTCTTGCCTCCAGGGCTATACTCCATGGGGCTCCTCCAGGCAGATCTTTCAGGATGCCAAAATTCACTCTCCAGGGTAGTGGGCCTGCTTTTTATCCCGGCCAAAGTTGCCTTGAACTTTACATTCCCCACAATCCCTTCATGAGTATAGGTCCAGTAAAGCATTGCTCATTATTTGTCCTTGTTGACTCCTTTATGACTTGAAAGAAGTAGTCACTGCACTCCAGAAACCTTTTGGATTGCTTATGTCCTGATGTCTTGTCCCTCCAGCAAATATCTGAATGGCTGAACTCCCACATTAGGACCAGGGCTTGCAAACACGAGGCTGCTCCATTCTAGAAAGGGACTGGGAGATTTCTCCATTTATAGTGTCTCACAGACGTTCCTTTGCTTGCATGCAAGGGCTGAAGGTGACCTTTCCTAAGACCCATCTTCTTGATTTTGTGTTCTACTCCTGCCACATCACCTTATGCCCATTGCTTTTTTTCTGTGTTCATCAATTCCCCACAAGGCTGCTGATTACTCTCTCGCTTAATTCTTAGTTTAAACCTCTGCTTATGTGGTCAGTGATCCTACTGAAAATACTAAAAATAACTTTGCCCTGCTTAGTGAGGTGCATCTCATCTCTACATGATTTACAAGCAGGGTCCCATGGTCATACAACTCAAATCCTTGTCAGCAGCACAGCTTCTGCCAACAAGTATTGACTTGTCCTGTCGGTGCCCCCTCACTGCCAGGGTTGAGAAAACATCGCTCAGACCCCCATGCCCATGATTCTTGCTGTTTATCTGCTACTGCTCTCTTGCTTCTTCCTATGGTTATTTTTGCCACCCAAAGCAAAAGTCAGTATGAATATTCTTTAGTCAATGCATTGGCTTTGAGTAAGCTGAACAGTGTAAATGTCACCTGTGAGTTGCGTGTCAGTATAAAAGAGCTGCTTGCACACCCACAAAACACTTCACTAGTGTGTGCTTATCAAATCCTGTAAACACAGGAGAGAAACAATTCAAGGTAGCATGTTAATTTGGTGTTATGTAAGAGAATAAACAACTATCAGCAATATCATATCACATACTGTAAGCACTAATTAGTGCACTTAGTTTTCCTGAAAACACAGAGTTACTACTGAAAACACAGTTAGTTTTAAGCCTCTTTCCAGATGAATGTAAAAACAACTTTATGATAGAATATAGACATATTGAGCTGCTAGTTGTATCTGCTAGTTATATACTCATTATCAGCTGTACAACTTAATCACTCTTGTTGGAGTATATAAACAACCCTCATTTGTCTAGTTTTATTTCATTATTAAAATAATGGAAACCTCACTGCCCCTTAGAAAGTCATTGTTGCTGCCTAAACTTTAATATTTTGCATTTCTAACTTGAATTTGCTAACAGATAGCAAATTGATAGCAGTCATTCTGTTTGTAGCTTGCATTTGCATTTGCTAACTTTTGATTTTGGAGATTAGATAATATGAGGACCTGTAGTAAAAACTTACTAGGGCAACATGGTGGCATTATTTTCCCAGACTCTGGGACCCTATGCAAATGATGCTCATTTAAAAATGAATTTTTCAGTAGTCATTCATGTAAATGTTAACTCTTGCAATGACAAGTCCAAATTTCCTCCTTGTATGTAAACAATACAGTTAAGGAAAAGAAAATAGTAAGGGAGTTGCCACGCAATAATTTTCAATATGCTAACAAAACTCTACATTCCAAAATTTGCGTATTTCATCTAATTCCTGTGAAAGAACAGTTGCCAGGCTTTGGGCCAGCTTAGGAATGTTCTTGTGCAGAACTTGTTTGGGATGATAGGGAGGTGAGGTAAGGAGATGCAGGGGTTTTTTGTGAGATTTTCATGAGCTCTCAAAGTCCAAAGCTCAGATAAAGTCTAGATATCACACAGGATATGGAAGCTGTTTCAGGGCAGATGATCTTTATAAATTCAGTAATGCTCTCTAGAAATTAATTCCACATATTCACTATGTGGATTATTATCTTAATTATAGAGTAGGTTTAGATTAAATAATATTAGGAAGAAAATCCTTACTGTGAGGGTGGTAAGGCACTGCAACAGGTTGCCCAGAAAAATTGTGGGTGTCCTATCCATGGAAGTGCTCAAAACCAGGTTGAATGGGGCTTTGAGCAGCCTGGTGTAGTGGAAGATGTCTCTGTCCATGACAAGGGGTTTGGAACTAGATGACTTTTAAGATCCCTTCCAACTCAACAATTCTATGATTCTAGTTCAAATATATTTCAACATTATTGCTTCTCTCCTTGCTCCTGTAAGTGAAATTCTGATTTCTTTTATAACCATTTAATTCCTTCTTGTATCAACATGGCATGCTGCCACTTATTCTTGATTTAGAAAATTTAGATATCTGGTGGTTTGGGTTTTTTTACTATCTGTATACCCTACTAACAGGGGACATGAACTTGACATGCATTAAACATCCTGATTTATTCAACAGTATACTTTTTTCAGAAAGATTTTTATCCTGCTCTTCGCATATCTCAATATTCTTCCCACCTTAGAAAACAAGTGATCTTCTGAGCACTTAGTGATAAACAGTTACCAATTTTTTTTTCCCATAACCTTCAAATTCAATCTAATGCAGTAATAGAAATAAATAGTTGAAATTATTAGTTTTAGTATTGCTTACCTTTGCAGTAGTAAATCTCCAGTTACTAAATGCCATTACGCCTAATGCCACTACAGCTTCTCTAGCAGCCATCAGTCTTCTCCCATTCTGAGGACTACAGATAGCGTAAGCTCTGTTCCTTATATCAGAATTTTACACTTTGGAACACTACACATTTATTTATAACCAATTAATTTTTATTTTAATGCAAATTTTGGGAAGTGGTATTATGCTGATCTGATGTCCTTTTCTATTACTTCTGAAGTTTCTAATCTGTGATTACCTAGTCTTCAATTTTGTGTTCTCAGAGTTTGTCAGGGTAATTTTGAAAAAAAACCAGTTGTATTTTGTACCTTTCTGGTCATATTGCAAGACATTTGGCCCTTTTGTTAACGGCATAATTGTGTAACAGCTATTAATCTCCTTTCATCCAATGGGATAACATTATTTCTATACTTTAGTAAGAGCAAGGAATGGTCTTTTTGCGGCTCGCTCACTTTTTATCCTTTGTTAAAACATTAAAATATCTCTTTCCATTTGTTGTCACTTTTGTCCAAAATACATGCCTGGGAGGAGGCCCTCCACCCTACCATGAAGCTCCTCCCATACTTCTTGTGGTGAGCTGCCAGCCCCGCTGGTTTTCCTCTGACAACTTACCAGACCAGCAGAATAGAAAAGCACCAAGTACAGCGGGATCTGCAGCTGCACCAGCCTCAGGGAGAGCAGCTGCTCACATTTGGCTCCCTCTACCTGCCCAAGGGCTTCAACACCTCCCCAAGGGCAGAACAGCTGCAGCTGTGCTACATCAGCTGCGACAGCTTTAAGGTTAGAGTGCCCTTGTAAGGTGGGCCAACTCCTTCCCCAGGTAAAATGACAAGCTTTACAAAAGCTGGCTTCAGAGCAGCTATTAAAGAAAAAGAAAAAAACCCAAGAAATGAGTGAGAGAAAAACCTCAACCTTGTATTTTAGAGCGTACCACAAAGGCTGATGTAAGTAAAGGCCCCAAGGACAATAAAACAGCACTAATACATAGTAATGTTTCATTTTATTTGATAGAAAGTTGCTTCAAAAATATGATTAACTATATACATTATTATATATGCTGTACATACAATTACATATACAAAATTTACATAATAGCAGACATCCTTCTGTTACATTTTATAGATGGTAGTTAATAGCATGAGATAGAACTAACGTATTTCATACCTGTTTTCATCCTGATCCTATCTAAAAGGTATTGTTAGGTGAGAGATGAAAAAGAAAGCAAATCAATTTGTACCCGAGCCCACACAAAAGTCTTCTCCACAGTGCATTCTATTAGTGCTTTGCTCTAGAACAGTTAAATTTGTGCACTTCCCTGCAGCGGTATTTGGTTGATAACATTATTTTCTTTTTTTTTTTTTTCAGTGTTCACACTAATATTATTTCTAATTTATTTCTGTAACTCAAATGTCCTGAAATCCTCCTTAAATTAAGCCAGATTTCTTCAACTTAATGCAATTTTGTTTTTCCAATCTGATTCGTTAGTTGCTTGTTTTGCTTGTTTGAAGTAGATTCAGCTAACAGTACTCTCAGTTCTGGGAGAAGTACACTCAAACAGGAAAGTTATAGTCTCAAGCGTTCTCTCCTTCCCATGTCAACACACGAGACCTGAAATCAGTCAGCAAGGAAAAAAAATCCTAGAACCATAGAATATGCTGAGTTGGAAGGGACCCATTTGGATCATCAAGTCAAACTGCTGGCCCTGTGCAGGGCACCGCAAGAGTCACGCCCTGTACCTGAGAGCATTGTCCAAACACTTCTTGAACTCTGCCAGCCTTGGTGCTGTAACCACTGCCCTGGGGAACGTGCACCTTCCACTCCTCCTCCTAAGGCTGTTATAGGGTCTGTGTGACTGCCAGCTGCTGCCTGGAAGAAGTGGTGTCAGATCTCAAGGGGAACCACCCAGATACTGGGATTTTTCTGGTCCTAGTCCCATGAGGAATATTCTGCCTGTCCACCCTTTCTCTAAGCAAGGAGTAGCATACCAAAATCAAAACACAGGGAGTAGAAACTGGCAACTCTGCCCTTTACTAGTTGCTTCTGCTTAAGTGTCCTCTATTTCCAAACTGAAGGGACCAGGCACCCTCATTCTATGAACCTGATGGTCAGAGAAGAAGAGAAAGAGCAAGAGCTGCCAAACCAGCAGAGTACCAGCAGCAGAATCCCTGTAAGAAAATGGCTTCTATAACTAAACAGGCTCTCCTGGAGGACTCTTCCCTGAGCTACAAAGGAACATGGCTTCTTCCATTGCCTTTCCTACTTCGAGAGGTTAAAAAATAACTGCTTCTTTCCTGTGGATATCTTCAAAGTTTCAATTTCATTGCCCTAAGAAAGTTTTTTTGTTTGCCAAGTTAGTAGCAGCCTTAAACATACATTTTATTTCTTCTCTGCTCATGTGGCCCTGTGCTTTCTACTCCTGTGCTGGCCACAGTCTTCATTTCACTAGGAGATCTTTCTATTTTCTCTCCATATCACTATATTTTTTTTGCATTAGTATACAGTAGCTTTCTTTGATCAATTAAGCAGTTTTCCCTCAGCTGTCAAGGTGAAAGCAAGGGGAATTATGGTTCCTTATATATATTCTTTTGGTTGTACATTAAATAATGTTTTTTTCTAACTAAGGGGAACTCTACTTTTGTCCTTCAGTACAAGTTTTAATTATCATATAACATGCATATATCTTATAACATCTTAAATCCAAATATATTAATACGCCTTCATTTTTTTTTTCTAGACTATGGGATTTTCATTTGTTTGAGAAAAAAGAGTTCTCAGGCATCTGTGTCTGTCCACTGTTGGACACTACCATATATCTAGTACAATTTAGATATTATTTCTTTTTTATTTTATACTGCTTCTTAATCTCCATTGAGCATGTGAGCTGGAATGAAACTTCTGTTACTCCTTGTCTGAATTCCTGAGATCCTGTCCACAACCTTGGTTGGGAGAGGGCGCTGGTGAGCTGCTGGCGAGTTGAGACTCCGCCTTAGAAGAAGTGGCTTTGGGACACTCTTGCTGACCTTCTGGGGCGGGAGGTGGAGGAGTCAGGCAGCTGTCACTTTGCTGAAGTTGTGCATTAGCAGCTGGTGAATCATCATCCTGCTGGTCTTGCGTACAAGGAGGAGCAGCCAAAGAGATGATGCCCTGAGGAGCAGCTGTTGAACCACTGGTGAGACAATTTGTAACTAAGTTTGAGATATTAACATTAAATGTGCAATTAGTGCTGTTCTTAGTTTCCGTGCTGCAGAGTTTATTAGCTAGTTAAATAGTTTTCTTCACTGTCACATTGCCCTTTTCTTTGTTTCACCTCAGCTTCATGGATCTGAGATGGAAACTTGTCTGTCTCATTAGATTTGACTCCAAATTTTTTCTCTTGAATCATAATTCTACTCTGGGGAAAGGTGGAGGAGGCGGGTAAGGAAGAAATAGCAGCAAATAAAAGCTGCAGCATCACCAGTTTTTAAAGTTATTCATTCGTGTGGATAAGGTTACTAAAGGTATTGCACAACAGAATTTTCTCTACCCCTCTCTGTACTTCATTGCTGGAAGGTGGACTGAAGGAGTAACAGTGAGATTATGAGCACTTTTAAATGGTCTTGCTTTTCTTACAGAGAATGTGTGTCATCTGAGTTAAAGGAATCACCAAGTTATCTTGATTACTTACATGGTGAGTAACTGGCTTGACAGTGAGGGAATGCTTAACAGATGTAAAAAAAAAATCCATTATAAATGCATCAGTTGGAAAGATGCTATTCAGGCAATATCTGAATTTATTACAATGGATGTTGGACTGGATATTACATAAGCACTGATCAATAACAGACATAAAGGCATTTTTCAGATATTAAAAAGCATTTTTGAAATATTGAATTTAATTTGCAAGGTCTATAGGCAGTATTAAACAACAACCCAGAATTGTTTTAGGATAGTCAAGGTCTTCCTATCAAGGCTTCAGTAATACCACGTACATTAGAAGACTCAGGAATTAGCAAAATTTATGGATCCTTCTGATGAAGATAAAGATTTAAAATATTTAAGATTTTAATACTTTCAAAGAAGACAAAATCTGTGGTTTTGTGCTGTTATTTTTTGTGCCTATGTTAGGGACAAGGAAAAATACTGCAGTGAATTATTGCATATTGTATGTTACAAATACACAGGACCTTTGATTTATTAAGTCTTCTCACCTCTAGGAGAAAAGCATTAACATAGTAAACTTTATTTTTGCCAGACTGATGCATTTATTTATTGTTTATAGATGGAAAAACCTGTGTATGTGGATTTTCCTAACAGATATTCTGTAAGTATTTCTCAAGTAATAATTCACAGACCACAAGTGGTCCATGGAGTACCACCAGGTGGCTTAAAAAGGAATTTTAGAAGCCAAGCACTACTACTTTTCAAAAATTTGTCATAGCATAGTCAAATATCTTGGGGTGCATCTTAGCTGTTGTTGTTCAGAGTTTTTTGTTTTGTTGTATTAATTTTTGGTTTTGTTTCTTAGAAAGTGTCTTACAGTTGCAAATTTGGATTTTAAAAACATGCAGGAGATAAGTGAACCAGAAGAAGAAAAATGTTACTTCAGTACAGAAAGTCTAAGTAAGGACAAATATCTTTTCTCTGTCACCCCATTTAATCTCTTGTCCTGTTTCTTGCTCATTTCTTATTGGGTTCTTGAGAAGAGGCTGAGACAGCTGGGCCTATTTAGCCTCAAGAAGGCTGATCTTATCTATGTGCACTAATGTCTGATGGGACACTGTAAAGTAGATGGAGGCTCTTCTCATGGGGCCTAGTGGCAGGACCAGAGGCAATGGGCAGAAATGGAAGCACAGGAGCTCCTTTCTGACCAGCAGGAAACACAGTGAGGTTGGTGGAGCAGTGGCACAGGGGGCCCAGAGAGGTGGTGGAGTCTCTGCCTTTGCACATACTCACCCAAACTGTACATGGCTCTGAGCAACCTGCTCTGGGTGACCCTGCTTGGAGCAGCAGGGGCTGGACCAGCCAACCTAGAGAGGTCCCTTCCAGCTTCACCATTCTGTGATATGTACATTTGGTATATGTGGCAACAGTACTGTGCAAATAGCTGACTTCACCAACTGTAGCCATGAGTTTGGCAATTTTATATTGGTTTCATTTGCAAGGCAAAAATACCCATAATGGGTAACATGTTGTTTAAGAATTCCTATGACACAATAATTTAGACTCTTCTGGCAGTAAAGGATTGCCAGCTTAGCTCTCCTACAGTACACTTACAAATATGTACCAAAGAGGTGTGATATTCTTTGTATTCACTTGTGGGTTAATTGAGGTACAACAGGTGACATGAAAACGGAATTGACTTGTCTCTGGTGAGCCAGAGAATAAGAAAGGTAAATAATGCCAAATCTAAAATAGACATATTGAGCAAAGCAACTCCTTGTGTTTACTTCTGTTTTCCCTTCCTTTAATTTAATAGTATTGTGCTGCTTTGTCTGGAACCAGTAACTATTTTTGTGCAGTAATGTTAAGCTGGACTGCTTCTGTATTACTTTTTGTGCAAGGCTATGGAAATATTTACTGGCTTAGTACTGTGTATACCAAGTAGGGAAATATGTATTGTTATCTGAATTTTAAGACTGCTTTTAGATTTTATTGCTATAAAGGAATATGCAGAATTACAGAGTGCAGGCATTTTTTTATGTGACTTACCAAAAGCTATGTTTCTGAAAAGCACCTGAGTTAAGATCTTTGCTTAAAATTGGCTTCTTGGTGCAATTGTTCAGTTTTTGTCCCATCATTCGCCTAATTAAAGCGTCATCTGTGTTTGGAAACAACTGTTTTGTGATTCCTGCAAAATAAAGAGATGAGATATACATATATATATATATATGGAGCCTCCAAATCAAGGAAACAAGAGATGTGTGATAAAAAATATATTTTTTGCACCTTTACAGTTCCAGCTACTTCAGCTTCCACTCTAGTTTACTTCACTATCTTTACAAACTCCTTCGTAGATTTTACACATGCCAGCTCCTGTTTTGCTTTGTGCCTTCCACATTGCTGTGCCTGCTCTTGGCAGACTCCAGAGGAACTCCAGGGCCACAAGGGCTTCTGTAGCAAGTGATTTGTGCTTGCTAATCCTCTGTCCTTAGGTCCTGTTCTTGATCAGAGTCCTTTACCTATCCTCATCAGTCCTTATGACTCTGAATCTTACTTTTTTTTTTCCTCATTCATTTTCATTTGCAGGTGATGTCACTTTTTCTAAAAATTTCCCTTCTGTTTTGCCTGGTTGTGATTCCCGCTCCCTTCTTTTCCATCAACTTCTCTTCCCTTGATTTCTCTGCCCTTTCATTTCATTTTAAAGTCCTACAATTTCCATCTTCTTTAAATAATCTGATCTACTAACTTATTTTCTGCAGTCCTAGAACTCTCAAGCTTCCTTCTATTTTTTCTTTTTCTCTTGTATAATGTTGACACTTTTCTGTTTAAATTCCAGAGTATTCTCTTCTACCTTAACGAAGTTCTTTGATTTCTTTACAGTCTTTGTCACTGCATTATCCACAACACACTGCATTCTATGTCCCCATTACCTTCTCTTTTCAGTTTTGATTAGGCCCTAGTAGGATTTAGAATCATAAAACCATTTAAGATGAAAAAGACCTTTATGATTGAGTTCAACCATTTTTCTCATCCCATTAAATATTTTTCATTTTTCTCAAATGCCATTCTGAAACTGTCTCATCTTACTGCCTCTAAATACATTTTTACCATCCTACACACTCTTTCCTTTTATCGCTCTTGACTTTGAGCCTTTTTTTCTAACAAGGTTCTTAAGGAAAAAAGGTTTTTGTAATTGATAACTTTTGAAACTGATGGCTAACTTAAACAAAACTGTACAAAGGTCCAGGAACTGGAGCTAAGCTGAGAAGGGAACCAAGAGAACTGCAGAAATCCAAGGGAATGGCAAAGGGGGAGGAATTATAGTACTGTAATTAGGGCTATACAGTTCTAGTATTTAGTTATAGGTGTGAATCCAATTAAAATTTGGCTTCATATGCTTACAAAAGACTGTTTTCTTTAAAGCTGTTACTTCCATCTGAAATTATTTTCTGTCCTATGCACCAAATATTTTCTGCTGTAAACCTCAGCATAAATCAAATTTTGTTTGCTTCTCTGATCACTATTTCTGTCTTCTATACAGTCTCTAGCCCCTAGCGCTATTTAAAATGTCAGCATTCATAACATTCACTAAACTTCAGAACACAGCAGACATAATTTAAAATTTGATCCAAGTGTGTCCTCTTTTTGCCTCCCCTTATCTGTTATCATCGGGCTCCACGTTTGACTGTTGCAGGTTAACCTTGCAAGGGCTAAAAAAATTTATAATATCACTGTGCCTGTGCAGTCACCTGAATAAAACCCACAGAATTCACACAATAGAAATACTACGACTTAGCATTTCACTGGCAGTATTTTTAACAGATGGTTTAAAAAAGCATGTAGCTGAAGAAGGAAATAGGAAGCAGCTCATCACAAGTACTTAACCAGCTGTTAAGCATGACAGCCCCTCCCTCCGAGAAAGCCCCCTGTCAAGTCAGAGCCACATTGAGTAATGTTATCAAGTCATCACCTATGATTTCCTGAACTTCATTCTGATTCATAGCTGGTTTTGCCGCTTTATCCTTAGAAGAGGAAGACTTTGCACCGGTCAGGCTGTGTGTAGCCATGTATTCATGTGTATAAAGTGCTTGCATCAAGTCATTTATAAATTTTTGAGGTTTGCTCTTGTTACAAAGTGCAATCTGCCACTTTTCAATCTTGAACTGGAAAACAGAATTGGTCATAGGCATAACTATAGCAGCTTTCTAGAAATATTATATAGTATTACCATTGAAACATATTTTTCATTTTCGATTTTTAAACCACAATTTCAACAGTAATCTCTGCAAACAGTGTGCTTGAGATAACACCACACTTGCATACCGCTCAGCGTTTGGGACTATACACACAGCTTGATTGTTTTCCAGAAGGAAGTGTGGGGCAGACTAAGGACCCCATGCATCCTAGCAAACCCTTCACCAGGCCATCCTTATTACTCACTAGTGGAGGCAGGACATGTTCAGATGTAGCAAAATCCTTCTGCTTGTGCTCCATGCAGGCTGGCTGTGGTCCAGTTCTGGCATGGTTTCTGTACTGCCTTGCTACCATGGAACTGTGCCCAAGCAAATATTCCTGCCTGTGAGCAGACATGCCCTAAGAACTGTGACATCTGGTCCTGGGTTTTCAGAGTGGCTTCTGCACGTAGCAGTGGTACAGCCTAGGAATCTGGACTCTCCTAATAGGCAATTTTGAGCTACCTCTATGAAGTAAGGCAGGTTGCTCAGAAAATTAGGTCCTTTTATTTCTTTGAAGATGTTAGGTCAAATTTTGTGGTTTGCAATATGCAGTCAAAACATACCACAAAAATTCTTAACAGACTTCTTTGGATTTTAGCACTCTGTGAGTACACTGAAGAATGATTTGCATGGATTAACATGACCCAATGCATAATGTTTATGTAAATTATGAATGCAGATGCTGGAATCATTCTTTTGGTAGTGCCTTCATTTTTTTCATGTACAGCCTCTGTGCCTTAGATTTCTCAACCATGTTCTAATTGCAGAGAATAAGGGAACCCCTTTACTCAGTTTTGCTGTATATATGTATTTCTAGTTAACTGCCAGCCAGTGTCTGGAACAGGAGAAGAAACATAGCAGCTTCCAATTACAAATTTACAGTTTGAACAGAATGCTGGTATTCTTCTTAGATTATCTTTGAAATAATATCATTCCCCTTTGGCATCCAAACAATTAGGCTGGAAGTTATCCCTGGATCTTGGTGTTTTCTTCATGCATCCACATTCTGCCCTTAGCCACAGATACGCCAGGTCACTGAAATTAAAGTGAATTTGAGAGTGTACAGGACACTGAATAAAGGCTAATGCTTATAATGCAAAGAGCATTCTGTACAAAAGGAGCTCATTGGTCTTGTTATCAATGCAATGATGACAAGTTATTTTACTGATGGATATTTTTTATATTATGCTTTAGCAGTAAACTTTATACTGTATAAAGTTTTATGCCTGAAATTGCCTTTTAACTGACCTGTTTTTCAGTCTGTTGCTCCTCATCTTCCACATTCAAAGTTATTGGTGAGCTGGAGTTGCTATGCATAGCTGCATAGGAATCTGCTAATGGATTGTGAGATGCCTTCCAAACAGCATGTGGATGCAGACTGGACGTAGATGATGTCACTCCTCCTTTGAGCAGCGCTTCAGCCATCCCTACCAGCTCCTCAAAATGAGTGACTGCCTGTGGCAACACTGAAATCAGATGAAAAGTGAGGGGTAAAATAGGAATTGAAGCTTTCAGACGCCGATTACATAAGCAGAGATATTTTTGCAATTAGATTCCTGTCATAATGCAAAAGACTCAATCAGCAAAGACATTTCAATTTCAAAAATTACTTTTTTCCTCTTCTCTCAAATGCTTTCCTGCCATTCTGCTGTCCCCACCCATGGGGCCTCAGAAATGAGGCCATAGAAACTGGCCTCAGTTTCTAGAATATATCAATTCATCAATATATCAATATCAATTCAGTGCAAGGCTAAGAGGAATGATTAGTTTATGTCCATCATGGCACAAAACAGATTATTTATCTTTTCTTTTTACAATCACAAAGTCTCATGATTTTACAATCACAAGTCCATAAAAGTACTGAATATGGGCTAAGTGAGGTCTTATTTTTTTTCCCCTCAAAGAAGTTACACAGACTGCAGAGGCTTTTCCTTTTTACTAATCTATAGAGAATATGTTTTAAATAACTTTTCCTCAAAGTAATATTGTCAAATGTAAACTTTTATTGCATCCATTAAGAAGAGTCAATGCAGAGCAAAAGGGGTGTAGATGACCTGTCAGCAAGATACAGGATCACTATTACAGAATTAAATTACAGATCAAATTACAGAAAATACTGTAAAAGACTAAGATAATTGCTCAGGATGCAAGATAAATTGACTTATATATGTGAGAAAAGTTGTCAGACACTAAGAAATTGTTTACAAATAATATTTTAAAAGGTGGAGATTCAAACCAAGATGAATAATGTAAGAAATGCAGTCAAGTGGGAAATGAAAATGATAAACAGTTGCAAAATCATCTGACAATAAAAAAACAGATACCAGATGTCTAGAGATGGTATGGTGTAGCTGTAAATCCTCTTTAAACCTTATTCATTCTCTACCAGTTTGAAATTTCGGATTCAGTTTTGGCTGCCTCAGAATAAGGGACAGGGACAAGCGAGTGGTGCTTCAGAGATGATCACTAAAAGATGAAGGATTCATTTACAGAGGATAAAATATTTCATCTCTGGCAAAGAATTAAATTCGGTGCATCTGAAACTAATTAAGATTATGAGTAATGAGAAATCAACAAAATAATTAGAAATAAAGTAATTTCAGAAGAAATTAAATATCATTTGATCAAGAAAGACTGCTAATAAATAAGGTCAGATGGACTGGTCAGTGAAGTACTTGAGCTTAGCCAATGGTTACACAGCATGCAGAAAGGTTCTCTTGGGAACTGCTGGCAGGATTTAGACAGATTTTTTAATTTCTAACTCTATGATTGCATGGCCTCTGTGTAAGACAGTAAGTGCTGCTGGAATTAAATGCTGCCATGTATCACAGACTTGGATGCTAATGGTAGGCCTTGATCATGTCAGGTGCTTGAGCATCCATAATTCCCATCCAAATGGCCTCTTATAAATCAAGCTTTTCCTGACCTTCAGGCTTTCCTCTTCATCAGAATACTCCTGACTTTACCTTGAAGCATCACCAGGGACTGCCTTAGGCGGCAGTTTTCTCTCATGGTATCTGTCAGCTTCCTCTTGAGACTTTTAATTTTGGCACATAGTTCTACCTTGGAGAGTTGAAATAAAGGCTCTTCATCATCACTGCTACTTTCACTATATAGAAAGTTGCTTCCTGAGTATGGTTCTCTCTGAAAAATACCCCAAATAATTGTGATATCTAGAACAACAACAACATAAAATCAAAGCATCAAAACTAACATTAAAATATCTGGTTAAATCAAAAATTTCTCATGTATAAACAGACTCAGTGCATTTTAATAAAAGCTGTTACCAAACATAGGTATTAGTATTCTTACTGAAATTAAAAAGGAAAAGTCAGTTTAAATATGTAACTGCTAGGTACCTTTGTCTCTGTTCTCTGTTCACCAATTAAAAAAATTCTTTCATCTTTCAGAACTGTTAATTTCACTATGGCAGAAATCCTATGGCTCCCTCAAAAATACCTTTCAGACTGCTTTTGCTTGATAGATTAAAATTGCTGAAAATGGATGTTTACCTGTTTGTTAATTAAAGATGTTTCAAGTTGACTCAGGATGTTGGCAGGAGTAGATGCCTGCAATGATTTCTTTCTTTTTATATGTTTCATCATCTTCCCCTGTAAAAAGTGCATAACAGTGCTTTTGCATTCCTATAGAGCCTTTTATTACAGTACTTCATAATATACCATACATTTTTATTCACTGTGCACTTCACATTCTTGATTAGTAGTTTTTAAAAATGTATTTGTAACTTTGTTCACTTCCATGTTTTCTTTCCCTGTATTTTGTCACTGCAGATCTCAGCACAAGGCACATCTCAGAAAATCTGGTCCCTTCCCCTTTTTATGCACTAGTTAGATTTCTGTCTTACAGGAGAAAATGCAATGGAGCTACAGAGCATCAAAGCATTGAATAACATTCATCTCTTGACACAGAAAAGGACAAAATCCATTGGCCTAAGTAATTACTCTGACAGGTTATTGTGCTGAGGTACCATGTGAAGGCTGCCTGTACTCCTACCTTTACTATACATCTTTTGTGTGTTATATCATGGAGAGTCAGTAGTTGCAGTCTATTTCATTCCTTTATGGACCTAACAGTATAAGGCACATAGAGACAGAAACTCACCTTTTCTTTATCCAGGTCACTGTCCTCACTTTCTGAGAATATCATTTCTATCCTCTTCCTCTTGCCTTTTCCAAGGACTTGTATTTTTGTAATTTCATCTGCTCGTAATATCTTTTGCATCATTTCCACCAGCTCTTGGGGATCATCTGAAGTGATGGAAAGAAAAAAGGCCAAAGCACAGACAATCAGGTAACTATACCTTAAAAGCAGATTTCATATCAGACAAATATTCTGGAACTGCACTCACCGCTCATGTACACAACTTTCACCAGGTGCTTTTCTGTCTTTCTTTCTCCCACAGGCCAGTTCACTAGTACATGCTCATTAGGTTTCAGAAGTCTTTCTAGTTCATTGTTATCACAGGGAAGGTCCTGTATCCATGAAGTCTCTCCAATTTGCAGTGAATTATCATTTACAAAATCAAACAGTGTGAATTTTTTCATCGTTAAGTGGCTTTCTTGTCACACAAACACTTCCTGCAGGACATCATAGGAAAAATAGGAACCACAGGGATGTTACAAGAACACTTTAAAAAGCTCCAAACAACTCTCCTTTTGCTGGATATTGGTAATTACCTTGTATGAAAATATCTTAAGAAAATGAAAACTAGCCAAGCAGTGAGTTGTATCCCCCTTGAAAGATGTTTAACACAAATCAGACATTTGCCTCCAAAACTGTGCACAGAAGACAGCTTTCACTCACAGAGTCCTGGCTCCCATATTACTTCTGTGTTCATTCTGGCTGGGATCTCTACTACTACTACTACATTTGTCTCAGTAAAATTTTTAGTCCAGCCTCTGACTAACAGATACGTGTGATAGAACCTTTCTCTAGAATGAAGGAAAGTGCTAGTTTTACGTGCTGTTAAGTGGGATGTATGGTTATAATTTCATGGACAGGAAGACAATTGCAGCCACAGAAAACCAACCCAGAGCTGCCCAGGACAACTGAGTGGATGAGGTATGACACATCCTGGCAGTGGAAAACTTGATGTACAAAAGAAATGACAGGCAAAGGACTGCAAGAGAGCTGGGCTGCTTCATGAGGAATAACAGCAACAAGGAGAACCCAAACCCAAGTATACAGTTAAATCATTTGCTTCATAAAACAATACTTTTAAAGCAACACACTATTCTGGGCTTTTTAAAGCACTTAATTTCTCTATCAGGAGAAGGGAACAAGTAATACTTTGAACTTTGTTTTCCCACTTAGGCTGATCACCTTTCATGAAAGTGTAAATTCTATGGGAAATGTAACCAGTTCTTTTAAGTGTTGCCATTGTACTCAGAGAAGATATTTTCTGCTTCAAAATTAATAGATCAATACATAGAAATTTGATTTTCAAACCTGAATCTTCTTTCCAGCAAACATGTGGTCAATTCATAAAGGTGAAATACTTTCTCAGAGCTGAAAACTTATGAATTCCTAGATGTGACAGTGTGATTTGCTATTGACTTGGCCTCAATCAGTCAGAAGCAAATTTAGTGCCTCGTGAAGAGGCTGTCAAAAAGGTAACTCAGAGCTAGAAAAGGAGAATTATGTGGGGCTATTATGTCAAAGTGAGAATATCTGGGTGCACTGCTCTATGAAGTAATGTCAATTTGTTTGCAGAAGCCCAGTTTGCCACTATTCCACACATCTGTGCTATGCCCCAACAGAGCAGGCTTTCCATACAGGGGTGAGCTTGTTAATTTGCACAAGACAGCTGCAGTCCTGTCAACATGTTTACTGATACAATGGGGCGAGCAGTACAGATAAATCACCATTGAAAGGAGTATTAAATCAAGCTTTTATACAGAATGTGTTTAGTTTGATAGCAGTAGGATTGTTAACTATTGCCTCACTGGAGAAAGAAGACTCTGTTTGCAAGAACTGACGTTACTTTTCTTTAAAGATCAGAAAACATCCATCCAGTGCAAATTCTGGAAGTGGAAGCAGCCTGAATATCTCTGCCTAGCATGACTCACCAGAGACCCCATTCTGCCACTGATCCATGCTGGATGGATCCTCATACCACAGACATGGATCATTCAAATGAGCAAACATATAGACAAAAAGAACACAAAGTATCAAAAAGTTTCAGCACTGACTTCACTATGAAGAGGTAAGGTCCAAACTGGAACTGCAAGATTTGTCTGAACAACAAAATACCAGGTTTGAAACAGGTGGGGTATGCAATCAGCTGGGCATCAGTATTCTTCCTTCTTTTTCAAAATCCTTCTGAAATATATATTTCACTCAGATTAGCATTTTTCATCTGGCATAAAGATGCTACTTCTGCCTCTGATCAACCCAGCACAGCAACCTCCACCACTTAATTCTTTGCTTCCCAAATGCGGCACTTTGATATTTCCTCCCTTGGCCTTGGCAGTTGTGAGCTACTTTTTTACCCTCCTAAAAGCCGACATAAAAGCCATAGAATTGTGGCAAAGTAAGAGCTGCCTGTGTGCTAAGTCTAACAACTGATTGATTGACTTCTATGTGTTTTTTTAATGTTTCCCTGCAGTCCTCTAACAGTTTGTCTTTTGTCTCTCATTTTGTATTGAGACAAATATTCTCTGAGCCATGGGACATTTTTGTGGTCTGAATTTGTACAGGGTTAGCAAGCCAGCCCAGGATTTCCAAAGGTACACTGAATACACAGGCTGTTCACAGCATGCAGAGCAAGCGATGATTCCCCACGGCACTAGGGTTAGTCATGTACACACTGTGCCAATACCATGCACATCAATACCAAGTCCAACAGCTTTTGGAAGGTATCAGACTTGTCTACATTTTTAAACAGATTAATGAAGCCAATGGGAACGTGGACTTCTGGATGAGCCCATGAGAACAGCCTGGTGCCACTGGTAGATACTGTGAAGCACATGGACAACAATATCTCACACAGTCTTTACACCAGGCAAGACCTGGATCCATAAAAATAAATCCTGACACTTTAAGCTAAGGACAATTTTTACCATGCTCATGGCAGGACATGGAGCTCAGCAATTTATCTACATTATATTTAAAGTTCTTCTGAGCTGACCAGATTCTTGCCTCTGGTCAGAGGGTGTACCCTAAAGCTAAACCAATTTCACTAAGGGACTTAGCAGCTGCCATATTCTCTCAGCATGCTGAGAGAAGGAATGTTCCTGCTGTTTATAAAGGGACCAAGGCAGGAAAGCAGTTGAGGGACAGCAACAGCAACTGGCCAGGACCATTTTTCTCTGCTGCAGCTCTACTGGACATAAGCCCAACTGCTTATGTTATGGGTAAAGTAATGAAATAATTACATTGTCAAATAAAAGGAATAGAGTGTAGTATGTAAGTATACAATATATACTTATATGCAATAATATATATACACATAATATATACTTACAATATGTAAGTATTTTTATGTTATGGAGCAATGCCTTCAGCTCCTGCAGTAGACATTAATCAAACTATGACTTTTCACAGAATTTACTGTGACAATCCATGTGCCCTGGGGATAACACCTAACTGTCTGCTGGCATCATCTCTAGCCAGTGATTAAAGGGAATGGAAAGGTAGAACAAACTGTCACTAATAAGGGAGAGGAATAGTGAAACACTTCACTTTCTTGGAAGTCCTGCAGTGTTTTCTCACCCTGACCTCCCACTGGAGTCAATGTGAACCTTATCCAAGTCATCATGGCTTCAGATGCTTCCCTTTAAAATCTTATTTGCCAAAACAGATCAAAAACAAAATATGATGTGTCATCAGAAGACAAACAAAAGAACCTGGGGACTGAGATTAACCTTACCAAACTTTTATTGCCTTAAAAGGGAGAAGTTGTCTAGCCACATTTGGCTCAGTCACTGCAGAAAAGGAGGTGATTCATCTTACCCTGTGCTGAAAGACAGCAGATGACCTACTGTCTGGGAGAGCCTATTTCTCTCTACTCAGTGACTACAGGGTTGGTGTGTCTCCTTACAGAAGCTGGCCTGGTCCCTCCCATGTTGTATTAGCTTTTCATGGTTTTGAATGGATTTTGAATAGTAGGATAGATTCCAGTAGACCAGCAGAAGCTATAGAAAGCTGAAACGATGGCATATGAAATCCATTAAAGTGTCTCTGGTTCTCTGTTTTAAATCTTTCTAGTATAGTTCTGCAAGTCATCAAGTAAGATTTCTGACACTGAATGCTTTGTTCAGTGTTCATTTGGAGGAAACATTATCATTCGCAGGCATTACCCTGTGTGCAGCTACTAATGACAGAAACAATTATATGACCTTTGAAAGCCACTTATGCTTTACAAGTTACTTAATTATGCTATAAGCTCCATTTGAAAACACAACTGATTTGAGTAATACTGAAACGCAGATTTAGGATTTTTCACTATTCTAGGTCATTTGTAGAAGGGAAAAAAGAAAAAAGAAGGAGTCTTATCATTTTAAAGTTCTGCAGAGGAAACATTAATTGGAGTCTTAATTTTTACAAACAGATTAACACTTCACATACTGCACAGATGCTATAAATTTGTAATTTTGATATTATTACTAAGGCACACAAAAAGCCAGAACAAAACCAAACCAAACCAAAACCATGCAAGAAACCCCAAGCCACCAAAAATCCACAAAGGTCAGATGGTGTGTTCCATTCAGCCAGAGAACTGGCAGATGGCATGCTGAGATCATTATTTCTCTTTTCTTTCAGTAAACACAGTGCAAAGTGTTACAAGTTTACAACATGATATTGCATACCCACTTGACGAGTCTGGTTCTGTTGGCTTAAAACAGGACTTGGAGACTGGTTTCAGCAAATAAAGAACTGTACCACAGATCCATAATCACAGTAAAGGTCAGGCTTACTACAGAGTTGCGTTAAGTCCATGAAGAGCTGAAGAGACTGGTTGAGAAAAACATGACATGTGCCACTGCTTATCTTATACCTGACTTGAGTAAGGTATAAGGACTGAATGATGCCTGGGTGAAGTGGAAGTCTCACAGAAGCCCCAGAGAGAACCTGCACCTCTCTACCAGCCACTGTGCATAACCAGCCTTGTTATAAATATGGTCCTTTAAGGATACAAGGATGTACTCCAAGACTTTATAGTGAAGGTCAGACAACCTTTACTGCCACTTCAGCAGGTGAAAGAGGACCAAAGTGTTTATTCTACCTTTGGTATCAACTATAAATTCTGAGAGAAAATAACCAAGACCCTCATTAAGCCCTATTTTCATATTAATTTTTGCATCCTAAGAATGCAAATTAAGAGAAGTGAAAACACACCTTACATGTACAATCATAACCATCAAAACCCCACTATAACATAAAGGAAGGGGGATTTTGGGGCAAAGGAGAAAATGAGAGAGAGGGGGAAACACCTCTGCCTACTTGGGATTGGTTGATGGACTGTCCTCCTCCCCTGGAAGGATCCCACAGAAGGGATGCCTCTAAGTGAGCTTTGTGCCTCCAGTGCATTGTAAAGACTCGTGAATATTTTTATATTTCTATCTATGTATCACTA